CCATCGGCCTTTATAGAGGCTTCTTGTTTGTTTACATGCCAGAATATGTTAGATGCAAGGACAGGTCTGGTTGAACAAAACTTCCTTTTTGTTTATGCATTTTATGTTCGAGTCTTTTGTTATGTTAAATTGATGTTTCTTACCATTTTTCATAAAAGCATGAGAGCCATTGTTCTGGAGACAGGCAGAGTACCCAGCCATGCCCTACACCTATAAAGAGACTTGACATTGATCTGAATAGAAGGAAACAAGACTGACTAAAGTAGCATTGAAAGACTTAATGTATTTGGGTAAAAGCCATTCATTCCAATATGAATCTCTCGGCCAGCTAATATGAGATGACTTCCCAAGTAAAATTGAAAATAGAAAGGGTAAAAGGAAGGAAAGGAAAAAAATATAAAGAAGTAAAACTTGAAGAATGTGTTACGCTAGATGAAAGTTGGGATGCACTAAAATCACTATTTCTTCATAGGCAGGGGAAAAATCTTAGAGAACAACAAACTTTCTCTAAAGGCAACATAGTTAAGGTCAGCCATAAGAAGTCAAAATAAAAATAATAAATAAATAAATGTATTGTGTCCATCTACAACTAAAAAAAATATTTAAAAAATAACTACAATGAGATGCTACTGCGTACATATTGAAGTGGATAAAGTTGTTATAAAAACAGGCACACCTGATGCTGATAAGGACAAGGAGCTACAGACACTTGCTTATTGCTGGTAGGAATGCAAAATAGCATGGCCACTTTGGAAAACTGCTTGGTGGTTTCTTAGACAATTAAATGTATACTAACATGATCCAGCAATCTCATTACTAAGTACCTTCTCAGGAGAAATAAAGACATACATCCCATAAAACATGTATGCAAATCTTTATAGCAGCTTTACCACAGCAAAAACTAATTAGCAAAAACTAGAAACAATGTGAATGTCCACCTAGTGCATCCATACAATAGCATACTAAAAGCATTTTTAAAAGACCATAAATAAGTAGTATGGATCCATGAGGAAAGAAGGATCTCTAAGCCCAGAAATGATTCATAATTCAACCTGACCCTAAAAATAAAACCCTTAAGTGAATAAACAACTTGTCAATAAGTCCCCATGTTCAGTAAGCTCAAAATAAGCAAGCAGATACTACCAACAAATAAACTGCTACATTTTAAAAGCAGGCTACGAAAAGTGAGAAGAGAACCCAATCCCTACACTGTGACATCGAAGCATTGAAAATGGCTTAGGAAATATATATAGTTTGAAACAGACATGGGAGTGGCAACTATAAAAGAGAATCCAGATGTTGCCCAACTTCCTTTCTTTCCACTTGGTGTGGTCAAACGATATAATCTTAGGGAAAGATGCAAAATAGCCAGGCATGGAAAACCAGCTTTCCCTTTCCACACCTGCTGATTCATTTTTTTTGTAGTCCAGAGTAGTAATGTTTCTATTTACTTGAGTTTTAGGGGTTTTATTTTGCTTTGTTGCTTCTAGGATCTTCTCTTCAAATTTCTGCTATTGTGTTGGTAGCACAGAGTCAAGTCCAAGAGTCCACAATGTTGGAAACTCAGATCAAAAGCTGGAATCAAAAACTTTGCACCCTGTACTATGGGGCAGGGAACAGAAATGGTGGCTGCACCAAGGGTGGATCATCACAAGGCTTCTTCTGACTTTTAAAGTAAAGTTGATGTTGATCTTATCACTTTTTCTGCGCTTCAAAAGTCTCACTAGCTCCCCCAAACATCCATCCCCTCACTCAATTAAGATTCATGTTCAGAAAACTTTCAACCATGAGCCTGGAACCTGCCTTCTCATTGTCACTGTTGTTGTTGGGCAGGAGTGTGGAAAACCAAGACTATACCAGCAATGATGTTGACAGTGCTATGAGGTATTACATTGTTTCTAATATTCACAACAACTTTACAGTGTATAACCATCAATGAGCAAATAAGTAAACTAGAGGATTGGAAGTGTAGCTCAGTGGTAAAGCGCTTGCTTAGCTACACTTGAGGATGGGTTCCATCCCCAGCACTGAAAAAAAACAACAAGGAGACAGGAAACGAGAGGTTTCTGCCTATTCTATTTAGCAAACACTAATTCATTTTCTGAAAATGAATGGATTTGTATCTGATTAACCTTCAAGGACACTAAGTCCAGAAAAACATAACTCTCCTTGTTTTATGATAAAGTTTATGATTTCTTCAGCTTTTCCACTTTATGTAAACCAGATAAACAGATGCCTGAGTAAAGTGGGATGGGGTCCCAGAGCAAGGCACCCTCACTGTGAGTTTTCCAGGCATTTCAATCAAGCCGACCTTACAGCAAACTTGGAAAGCTCTGACACAGAGATCTCTATCTGCTTTCCTTCCTAACTTCTAGAGAAGATAATGGTAATTCCTATCACACTAACAACATCTGGATTTTTAAAGAATATATTCTGTCACTGCAGGTTTAAAAAAATGTGACAAGTTTATATATTTGTATATTTTTACACAAAACAGAAATAATATGCTACAACACATACTATTCATACACTGTCCTTAGTAAGTTTGGCTACTCTGAACAAGAAACAAATTCTGGGACAGATCTGAATGTATGGTATTTAATCAAGTCCTTTAAAATAATTAATGTCTAATTTTTAATCACTTAACAAATATTCAGTGTGTGCCCACCATACTGATCATACATTTTTAAATTTAATTATGTCTCTAAAAAGAAGTTTCTAAGCCTATAAATTTGACCCTTAAATTTTTATATTTTTGAAGGATGCAATGATTTAATAAGATTTGCAACAAAATAGCACTTTTATACTACTTTCAAAGTGAAGGGCTATCAAAATGATAGCTGTACATAAAATGGAAAACTTTTCATGTAGGTTCATCTGTGAATCTGTGATCCTGTTTAAAGTGAATCCAAAATTAAATACAGAAACTAGCCACACTGATTGTAGCTTTAAAATGAAATATGAAAACAAGTGTCACAGCTTTAGCCACAATGTAACAAGTTCAGTGTGACATATATATCAATACTAAAACACAGATTTGCAAGTGGCTAAAAATAGCTTGTAATAATTCTTTGTTATTCAAATGAAGTTTTAGATAACTGAGATTTATAAAACAAAAACACTTTAGAGGGAATTCATTTTAATGAATGTAAAATTCTGCAAAATTATAATAAAGGCAATAGCTTAACTTTATTATATATATTATTTTCTGAAAGCAGGGAGCAAGACCAAGACAAAACTACATTTCTGCCAACAATTCTACTATACTCATTAGTTCTTGAACAAAAAGCAATATAAATACCATCAGAGATTTCCCCTGCTGGCTACTAATGTCAAAAAGAGAGAGACAGAAACAGAGACACAGAGACAGACACTAATATCATTCAGAAAATTTTTTAATGTACTCCAAAATATGAAATTGAGGAAGAATAGTCTATGATTTGTATTGTTCTCAAACTAAAAAATGAAAAATTATAACTATGACAATTTGATGGCAATCTATATAATGCTTGCCTTTTTTTAAAAAAGCAAGTTTACTAAATTGCATATTCACTGAAATTAATATCAAGCAAACTTCAGACAAACCCAAATTGAGGGACATCTTACAAAATAACTGGCCAGTTCTTTTTAAAAGGATCAAGGTCATGAAACACAAAAAAGGCTGAGGAATTCTTCCAGATCAAAGACAACTAAAGAGACATAACAATGGAATTCAACATGACATCCTGGATTTGATTCTGAACCAGAAAAAGGACAAATGAGACAAATGGGGAAATTTCACTAAAGCCTATGGATCAGATCTGTGATCCAAAATTTTTTCATGTGAAGCGCAAAATAGTAAATATTTTAGGATTGGTGGACCACATAAGAGCTCTATGGCATATTCCTCTACACTTTATTTTTAATCACTCCTTAAAAATGTCAAATCTGTTTTTTAACTCACAGGCCTTAACCAGAGATACAATAGGCCTGATTTTTTTTATTTGTTCTAATTAGTTACATATCACAGTAGAGTGCATTTTAACACATTATACATAAATGGAATATAACTTCTTATTCTTCTGGTTGTACATGATGTAGAATTACACAGATTGTGTAATCATATATGTGCAGAGAGTAATAACGTCTGATTCATTCTATTATCCTTCCTACCCCCAAACCTCCTCCCCTCCCTTCACTCCCCTCTGTCTAATCCAAAGTATCTATATTATTCCATAGCTCCTGCCCCCTTGTTGTGTATTAGAATATGCATATCAGAGAAAACATTCTGCCTTTGATACTTTGGGACTGGCTTATTTCTCTTAGCCTGATGTTTTCCAGCTCCATTCATTTACTGGCAAATGCCATCTTTCCATTCTTCTTTAAGGCTGAGTAATAGTCCATTGGGCATATATAACCACATTTTCTTTATCCATTCATCTGTTGAAGGACACCTAGGTTGGTTCCATAGTTTAGCTATTGTGAATTGAGCTGCTGTAAACATCGATGTCGTTGTAGTACACTGATTTTAAGTCAATAGGCCTGATTTTGATAATCATAGTATTGAACTCTACCATTAATAGGGAATCCGGATGGGGGTATTTTCTAAGTATGAAATCTTCAAAATGAAGACTTTAAGGTTAAATAAGTGAACAAAATACAAATCATGATCAAACTATTCACATATCCAACAAGCTAGCTCATATAAAACAACTATAACAAAAACACACACCGGACTCTTCACTTCCTTGTACCACTGACAGATACTCTATTATCCCCAGAATCTTCAGGAATCCCCTCCCGCTGTATGTACTGCTCTCTCCTCCCTCCCATCCCAGAGTCCTTTACAGTGAGACCCTCCCTATACTTGAGCTGTCTGCAAGAACACTACCTCAGACAGGCCTTCCCTACTATTACCCTCCCCACCTCTATCTCACACTCCATGTTTCTCTTTAAAAGGAGAAATGGCAGTGGTGATTAAATATTTATTGGTGTAACCAGTTATTTCATGTGTGTCTTACCTGCCAGGAGAGCAGAAATCGTGGCTCTCTTCTTCAATGCTGTATTCCCAGCATCTAGCTCAGGGCCCTGTGTACAGGAAATGCTCCAGACAGCAGGAGATGGATGACAGGTGGGGTGAGGAAGTTCTTCAGTGTGGCACTAGAGGGAGCCAGCACAAAGAGACGGTATCAGAGATGGGCTAGAAAGTAAGCTTCTCAATAGAAGAAATAACTACTAATAACACTGTCCCACGACATAATCAGTGGCTTTCTAAGCCTCTACAGAAGCTGAAGGCTATTTTTGAAACAGATATAGAAAAGATCCAAAGTAACAGGTTAGTCTCACATTTTTTTAAGTTTTTCTAATTTTATATTCTGGCTAATACTAGTCATAAACAATTATAGGACACTCACATGGTGTACTAATTAGTGAACTGGCAGAATAATTATAAGTCTAACAATATTTTATAAAAATAGCCAGGTAGAGCAACATGACTAATGTGACTCACAAGATAAATATAGTTACTATGTATAATTGTAATGTTCCAATTAAAAAAAAAAAAGATTAAGCTCTACCATTTAACAAAATTAAGAGATGAACAAATTTATTAAGAACTCATTAGGGAAAGAGTAAGTATAGTGGAAACATAAATTGATAAAGTTATAAGAAATAAAATATAATTATTTAAGTATATATGCTAATGATATTAACACCTATTTAATCTATTTACTGTCCAATTAAGAAGAAATTTGTAGACTTATTTAATGACCAAACTATTTATATTAAAACAAAAGAAAATTATAATATGCCTGTTCATATCAAGCCTACCTTGATATGAACTGAGTTAAGAGCAGTTATGAAACAGTAAATTATATGACATCCAGAAAAAATCTACATTAAAGTAGATCAAAGTATAAACAATACTTTTATATTATATGATTATATGTGGTTTTATCCCCAGTACTGCAATAAATAGATAAACATTTTGAAGGAAATCAGTTTCTCAGCATAAAAAGCTATACAATAAAGAGTGTTTAATGCAATTTTTATTGGTATCATGCACAGAATTCAAAATTTATCTTTTAAAAAATACAATTCAGTGTGTTTTAGTATATTCACAAAGTTCCACAAATATCTTATTCTAGAACATTTTCACTGCCTCCAATACACACCCATCCCTCTGTATTCTTCCATCCCCAGCTCATGGCAAAACCTTTTTTCTGTCTCTGAATTTACCTATTCTGGACAAGTTATAGAAATGGAATAATACAATATGTAGGGGTTTGTGTCTGGCTTCCTTCACTGAACATAATGTTTTCAAGGTTCACCCATGTTTTAGTATGTTTCTTTACTCTAGGCCATTTGTTTTTATTGCCAAATAGTAGTCCATGCATGTGTACATATATGCATATGTATGTGAATATATACACATATAGATACACATACATATTATATGTACATATCCATTTATAATAGGTAGACATTCAGGGTGTTTCCACTTTTTTTCTATACTCAATAATGCTGCTATGATTTATTGTATGTGTACATGTTTTTGTTTTCATTTCTCTTGGGTTATCTAGGAGTAGAACTGCCTAATAATTTAAGTAATTGCCAAAGTTTTCCAATTGGTTCTATCATTTTAGATTAATTACCAACAATGTTTGATAGCTCCAATTTCTTCACCTTCTCACCAACATTTGTTATTATCTGTGTTTTTGATTATTGCCATCCTAGCAGATGCAAACTCATGTCTCATTGTTACTTGAAAAAGTGATCTTACTGCTGGGGATGTAGGTCAGTGGTAGAGTGCTCACCTAGCATGCATAAGGCCCTGGGTACATCCCCACTTTTTCCCCCTACACATGAAACTATCCTAAAATGGTTTGACAGTATAGAAAAGGTAACCAATTAAGTGACTATCCACATTAGGCAACGCAAATAACTTTACAAAATTTGTAATTTACCTGAAGTTAACCATAATAAGCCTCTAATTAGGTGGTAATTTTCACAGTTTTCCTAAAGGAGGTGCTTAACACTCAACAAAAAGTAGTCACGTGATAACATCTGGTGCAACAGAATGTTAATATACTCACTTTCTCTCGTTATACTGAATTCCTAAGTACATGTATCTATGTTCCATGTTGTTCCAAAAAATCTCTCAGGCAACCTAGATATGTTGAGATATTTGTTCAGTTGAAAGCAAGCCTGCTTCAATAGTGCTCTCAGGCATCTTGCAAAAGGAAAAGCAAATCCCATTTGCAGGAAATCCCAAAGGATAATGTTCCAAGAAACAGGAGCTCACAGTAAAAAAATCACAGAACAGGGCCCAGGATTGTGGCTTAGTGGTGGAGCGCTTGACTAGTATGCATGAGGCACTGAGTTTGATCCCCAGCACCACATATAGATAAAAAATAAATAAATAAAATAATAAAGGTATTGCTGGAGATTCCTTGCAAAACTGGGAATGGAACCACCATTTGACCCAGTTATCCCTCTCCTCTGTCTATACCCAAAGGACTTAAAAACAGCATACCTTAGGGACACAACACAGCCACATCAATGTTTATAGCAGCACAATTCACAGTAGCTAAATTGTGGAACCAACTTAGATGCCCTTCAGTAGATGAATGTATAAAGAAAAATGTGGCATATATACACAATGGAATATTACTCAGCAATAAGAGAATAAAATCATGGCATTTGCAGGTAAATGGATGGAATTGGAGAAGATAATGCTAAGTGAAGTTAGCCAATCCCAAAAAACCAAATGCAGAATGTTTTCTCTGATATAAGGTGACTGACTCATAGTAAGGTAGGGGTGGGGCACGGGAGGCATAAATGAACTCTAGATAGGGTAAAGGGTGGAAAGAAGAGGGAGGGGGCAGGGGGTAAGCATGGAATGTGATGGACATCATTATCCAAAGTACATGTATGAAGACACAAATTGGTGTGAATATACTTTGTATACAACCAGAGATATGAAAAATTGTGCTCTATATGTGTAATATGAACTGTAATACATTCAGCTGTCATTTTTAAAAAAAATCAATAAAAAGGTATTGTGTCCATCTACAACTAAAATATATTTTTTTAAAAAAAATCACAAAACATGCAAATGAGCAAAGCCCATAGTAGAATCCAGTAGAATTAAATCTGCAAAACCTAAAATACTGGAACTCTCAGTAGGACAACATGTTAATCAACTGTCCATCACAAAGGAGGAAAGAGTTATTGAGTTCATGGTTTCAGAGGCTCCAATCCATGGTCACATGACTCTGTGGCTTTGAGCCTACCAAGAGGCAGCCCATCATGGCAGACGTACATGCAGGAGGAGAGCTATTCATGTCGTGGCAGCCAGGAAGCAAAAAGAAGAAAGGGCCAGGGACAAAGTGCACCCTTCAAAGGTGTGCCCCCAGTGACCTTCCTTCTCCATCTAGGTCCTACCTCCTGAAGTTTTCACCACCTCAGGAAAGCCTGTGTCTAGGAACCAAGCCTTCAAGGGATGTCAAGGGGAGCCTTTGAGGGGTGACACTCAAGATCCAAACTAGAACACACAATATAAAATGAGCATGTCTACCCTGTTGGAAGAAATAAAAGGACTTGAAAACGGGAGTATAGAGAAATAACTGCAAAAAATGAGAAAGTCGGTTTTTCAAAATGGCTACCTGAAAAAGAATCACTCAGAAGAGCTATAATGTACTACAAAAAGTAAGATGAAAAACTCAATGAAGTAGTTTAACAGTAGATTAAACCAGCTGAACAGTTAATAAACTGAAAGCCATATCCAAAGAAAATTTCCAGAATGCAGTGGTAGTGACACAGGGACTCACACTATAAACAGTGGTTAAAAGCGATGAAGTAAAAATGTAAACTACACAACTAATCACAGATCCAGAAGAAGAAAATAATGTGAATGTGGAAAGTGCAGTATTTGAAAAGTGAGTGTCAAGGGCTTACTCAAATTGATGGAAGACATCAATTCACAGACTAAATTAATACAAAATAGAATATAAAAAGAATTCCACATTTGGACAGTATAAAGCACTAAAAACAAAGAGACTACCTTACAGGCAGCTAGAGAGAAAAGAGGTAGGTAACCTCCAAAGGACCATCAGCGGACATGTCAAAAGGACACAGAACACAAGGGCCAGCTTGAAGGGGCTCTTCCTGGACAAACTTAAGACAATGAAAGCACTGAAAAGAATCATGATGCTTTATTATAACACACTGAATAAAAAGAATCAATTGATCTTTAGTAACACATAAAATAAAAAAGTGCAGGCAGAGAGGAGAAAATCCTCTTTACAGAGAAGATGCCATCGAAGGGCTGGAGGAACGTCGGTTAGAGAAGATCACTCTTTTGCACCCATCAATGTAATATGAAATCATTCAAGGATCGTCAGCAGATGCTGAAATGATGACATGCAAGTTGGTTGAGTAACAGGGTATTCACTCAGTGTTAAAGTTTCTCTATGCAAATTTCACATTGAAAAAAAATTACACTGTAATTTATAATAAATAAATAAATAAATAAATAAAAATCCCAAAGGGAAAAGGTATGTTTACAACAGGGCAACTTGGCAATAACCATGTCAGCAGCAGCAATAGTGGAGCCCCTGACATCTTGTGCCTTCTCTTGTGATGCTATAAGGATACAAGGTCACCTGACAAAAATTTTAACCGAAATCTAATCATGAGGAAATAATTAGGCAAGTTTGTAAAATGGGACACTCAGAAATACTTAACCCGGACTCTTCAAAAATTCAATGTTATAAAAAAACGTCTAATTGCTTTAAAATGGTTAAGGGAGACTAAAGTGATACAACAAACAGATGTAGCTCTGGTTTGGACCCTGGGGTTGAAAATAAAGTTAGCCATAGCAGTCATTTGTGTGTGTGTGTGTGTATGCTTTTGTGTCCTTCAAGCTCTTCTGTTTTCTTGCTTCTACACAACTCCAGGGATAATCACAACACTATGAGGCTGCTATTATTATTATCCCCATATTGAAAATGAGGAGGTTACCTAACTTCTCAAAGCCCCATAACTAGAAAATGGGCAGAGCCATTCTGAAACACAGAGTCCAAGTCAAGAGCCTGCCATGAGGTCATTATATTATGAAGTATTTTCACCGTTTTCTTTGGTGGTGGTGGTGGGGGGGAGTTGATGCCACTCTTACTGAATTCTGCATTTGTTTAAGCTTCACAACCCTGTGAAGTAGGGTTTTTATTCCTATTTTGCAAAAGAGAAGACAATCTGAGAGAGTTTCCTGTCCACAGTCACACTGCTATAGTGTAAAGGACCATGATTAAGCACAGGTGTATCTGATTCCAGTGCTCCCTCTTTCTAGATCAACATTCTGCCTTCTACATTCTGTGTAGAAAACATTCCTTTTTTTTTTTTTTAAGAAAGCTAATCTACTGGACAACGTTTGGTTCTCAAACATGTATTCCTATATTTGTTCAGAATAAAAAAACCAATTTCTCCAGAAATATTTTTTTCAGTAATCAATGAGATTCTATGACATAAGAGAATGAATTCAGATAGTTGCCAGCATTCCAGACCAGCAGCCCAAGTGGCTCTCAACACAGTTGGGGTTCCCATAGACGGGATTCAGTCACCTCCATAAGAAATAAGCAAACAATGGAAAAAGGAATTTAATTCAGTTTGGCCGAAACTGGAAAGATAGCTAATCTACCTCTGCCAGTCTTGAAGCAACATTACAATCTGTGGGAACACAATCCAGGAAACATACCTATGTTGATTTATCCAGCCTGTGCTAGCCAGAGATACGTCACTATTCCCCTTCCACCAGGCCAAGGGGGCAGTTTTTCATTTTCCATTCTTGGCATGAAATGATGTGAGAGTCTGGTAAATTACCATGGAAGGGCCCTCCAAAGTATCTGGTTTAAATCCCCATGTTCAACAGGTTTGTAAGCCAGTAATGAAATAGTATTTATGAAAAAAATCAACCAAAAAAAAAAAAAAAGGCTTGTACCAGTTAGGAATTAGTTGAGGATATGACATGACTGAGCCTTCATTTCATACAAATAATAACTTTTGTCCTTTTTAAAAACAACAGGCGTGGTGTTATATACCCATAGTCTCAGCTATTAGAGAGGCTGAGGCAGAAGAATGTCAAGTTTGAGGCCAGCCTGGGTCACTTAGCAACACCCCATATAAAAAAAAAAAAATTTAAAAGGCTGGGGATGGGAATGGGCTATAGCTCAATGGTAAAGCTCCTGCCTCACCTGTGTAAGCACCACACAAAAATAAATAAATATTTATTGTCCATATACAACAACAAAAAATTTTTTTTTAAATAAAAAGGGCTGGGGATGTTGCTAAGTGGTTGAACACTTGTCTAACATGTCCAAGGCCCTGGTTCAATCTTCAACACCACAAATAAACAACAACAACAACAAAAAATAGAATCTTTTATTCAAATAATTTATTATTTACTAAAATCTATTTATAGAAATCAAAACCACACCAAAAACATCCATGCTGCAGATCATTGCCCTTAAAATCAGAAGTCATTCTCATTTTACTTATTTCTGCTTGTTAATTTCTGCTTGTTTCAAAAATCATTTAAAACAGCTGACCTCATCCTCACAGTTCCTTCTGTGGAACCAAGTAACCAGTGGCCCTGGTGCCAGGTGGTCTGTCACATTCTGATGAGCAGCTACCACTGGCCACTACACATGGCATTTGTGAACATGGGCAAGCTTCTTAGTTGAAAAAATGAAGATAGCAAGAGCATCTACTTCACAAGACTGTTGTGAGGATTAAATGAATAAATTCATGCAAAAAAAATCCCCTGCATTCTAATTGCTGAAGCTGATGAAACTGGAGCATCCATTGTATGGAAAGACCCCTATCAACTTTCTCATGTATGGAGGAGCTTTGAAGAAACTTACCAAGACCCTGATTCCACACCTCTGTTGAATAATGGGCTAACTCTAATGAAACAAAATTTAATAGGGCAAAATACCTAAGGGATCTGTCACCTGTGTCCAAACAGATACCCATAAGATTAAAATGAATAAGCTGTGACTTATTTGCCACAAATGTTTATTTAAAAGTCTATTTAATGGCATTAGATGAAAGCAAGCTTAATTCAATGTGACAGTAGTAGGTTTAATATGATGAGATGTAGATATCAGAATAGCTAATGGGACTCTAGCAGCAGCAGATGTACTTCAAGATAAGAGAGATCAGTTTTGCTCCACTTTGGATTGATCACATGACAACTGAGATACTGCCTACCTTTCTGGTGGTTGCGGTTTTCCCAGGATCAAAAATACATTAGCAAATGTTCAGAAAAAAAAAAAAAGAATGCTTAGGATCCCAGATACTATCCCATAAAAGGAAGGGCAGAAGGAGATGGGACAAAACAATGATTTGGGAGGAAAATGCTAACTAACTTCATTTAGTGAATATGCATTCTACAATTTCAGGAAAACCCATGGGAACTTATTTCATTTTGTAAATGGCCAGGGATACAAAGGATAGGTTATGACTGCAAGAAATTCCTATGTATGTGTTTATCGGAAGAGTTGAAACAGTCATGATGAGAAAAAGAATTAGATTGTTTCTATACAAGAAAGTACAGATAGGAACAGTGGAAAACAAGTTAGAAAGTGTACGTTCACCCATAGAAGGAAGAATATTTTAAGAGTCAAGACTAATGAAAGAGCATGCTATCTGATTAGAGGGTAAGGTTCCCATCAGTAACTGTGTACTCACAAGGGACACAGCTGAAATAAAAACGGGCACTAATCTGAACCATATTTAACCATAATCACCTCGCACTATGATTGATGCTTCCCCTGGAAATGATTAAAGAGATTTTGTGTAGATGTTAGCATTGTGGGTCTTCTACAGTTGCTACTCCCAACTCTGTAAACTACTCCCAAAAGGAATGGGAATATATCTGACCACAATAACAACAAGGAGGGAAAAAATACACACCAGCTTGAGCAACTTATTGAAATCTTGTCTCAAAATAGAAAATATGCATTAAATTAAGATCCTTTAAGCGTACCTACAAGTCAGTTTATTTTCTAATTCTTAAAATAGAAAATAAGAAGGGCTGGGGATGTGGTTCAGAGGTAAAGCACTTGCCTAGTATGGTGGCGACCAGAGTTCAAATGCCATTACTGACCCCTCAGTCCCGCCCCCCCCCCCACACACACATAAAATAGATAGGTAGAACTTGACCCATCAGCAGAGGGAACACAAAAAATCAGAACAGCTCCATGTATGTTGAATTTATAAAGAAAATGCAAGCATTATATATCCTTTAATTCATAAATTCAATCAAAATATTCAATCATGTTCAAGTAATGTAAATAAGGATTTTATTAAATAGGGCTTCTCCCGTTGTGAACTATTTTTCTTCTAACCGACAACAAAAACAATGTTCAACTTAAGTTCACTTGAAAATTTTGCGTTCTAAATAAGCACCTCCAAAGCCTCTATTCTAAGTTATGTGAAAACTAACTTCAAAATGTATTTCTAAAAATAAATGATTCATCAGATAGAACAGGCCAAAAATCATGAACTTATCAAATTGTGGAATTCTGATTAAATGGTTACTTATATAAAAATCAAAGGCAGGATACAGAGAAAGGTCCGAGACAATGTAGTTTTGGCTTTCATGAATTAAATTAAGATCCTTTAAGCGTACCTGCAAGTCAGTTTATTTTCTAATTCTTAAACACACTCATATACTTGGCTCTAAATGCTGCAACTGGGTATCTAAAGAGTGTGCCCTCCAAAATCGTTCCTTTAAACTTCCTGGAAGCAATTCTTCCCACTTCAGCGCTTTCTCAGTTGGAATATGATCAATGGGACAAGTTTGACTTCCAAGACTCTTTTTTAATTTTTTTAAAAATTTGTTTTAGTTATACATGACAGCAGAATGCATTTATGCACTTTGATACATTATACATAGATGGGCTATAATCTGTCATTTTTCTGAGTGTACATGTTGCAGAATCATATTGGTCATGTAGTCACATATACACATACAGTAATAATGTCTGTTTCATTCTACTATCTTTCCTATCTCCACATCCCCTCCCCTTCCCTCCTTCTCTCTACCGAATCTAAGGTAATGCTATTCTTCCCTAGTGCCCCCACCCCCGCGCCTTATTGTGAATTGGCATCTGCATATTAGAGAAGACATTTGGCCTTTGGTTTTGTGGGATTGGCTTATTTCGCTTAGCATGATGTTCTCCAACTCCAACCATTTACTGGAAAATGCCATAATTTTACTCTTCTTTAAAGCTGGGTAACATTCCACCGAGTATATATACCACATTTTCTTTATCCATTCACCTATTGAGGGACACTTTTAATCAGCATTCGGAAAGGCATGTAAGGAAGAAAGTGAGGCGCTTCTTGCACTATCTAACCCGGAAAAGAAGCTTTCCCTCCGCTGGCCATCAACTCCACCGACTTCTCAACATGTGGCCTGGACGTTTCGGGTCCCTAAGAAAAAGAAAAAGGGAGTCCTGTCTGGCCAGGACGAGGACGCCTTGCCAGTGACCAGAGCTAGTCCCCCTCCCAGGAATTCCTCCCGTTACCAAGGCAGCGCCAGGCGTTGCGCTCCAGGGCAATTCTAGCGACCCGGAGCCCAGCGCGGCTCCAGCCTGCGGCGCTACAGCCCCAGGAGAGCAAGGAGTCACGGACCGCAACGCGCGGGCCGCAATCCGAACAGCCCCGCGGGCGCCCCCAGGACCGCGGTTCCACTTACAGTGTCATCATCCTAGGTGACAGCACCAGTGCAGCTTGAAGCACTTGCCATGGCTGTGAGTGGCACAGATCGAGAGCCCGTCACATTGCTGGAAGTCCAGTCTGCGGGCGGCGCAGCTCCGCGCCAGGGCGGGCGCGGTGTCTGTCGGTCCGGCAGCCCTGAGCCGAGCCCAGGTAGGAATCCTAGGGAAGCAGCGTTTGGATGAACTGAATGCGGAGCTGGCTGCAGACGCAGGAGGGCGCTGCGGCGTCAGCGGCTGTCTCGGGCTAGAAGGCGCTGCGACCGGATTGGGTCTGGCTCCTCTTCTGGAGTCCCACACTCACGTGCACCCACATATGGACAGGAGTGGTCTGCCGTGGCTGCTTCTGTCATTCTCCCCTCGGTGAGCCCGGCCTCCGCGTGCACGCCGGGCCCTGGTATGTGGGCGTTGGTGTCGCCTCCTACCAAGGGCAAATACATCCCGCACACTCCTGTGTTCCTCCCACAGTCCCTGATCAAAAGCCGTCAGGGCCACCACACCTCGGTTTCTTGGTCTAACCAGGTTATATTAATATACGTGTACATTACAGAACACAATAACGAGGAATTAAGAAATGACGAGGTGGTGAAATACGTTAAAATGGTTTGGTAATAGGTAATGGTTTCAGATTACTGTTAGCTAATATCATAAGCAAATATACACCTAGGGCAAACTTCATAAATGTTAGATAACAAAAAAATCTATATTTCTGATACTTTTCCGGATCAAAAATTTTTGGCTAAGTTCTTCTCAGACATAACCATTCTACCTTGCAATGTAGAATGTGCTCTCACACACGCTTCCCTGTAATGCTTCCCTCCGAATTTGGAGAATCACACACACACACACACACACACACACACACACACACGCCCTCCACGGAAGGCTATGCACACCGCATATACCACTCCCGACCCCCTCAGTGGATGGCTCTGGGCCATTTCTGAGCGAGGTTTTTGTCTCCCTTTCTCCCCAACACACAGCCTCCTGGAATGTCTGGCAAGCCTCCCTGCGCGCAGAGCGGGCAGGGATGCGCCCCATACTCCCAAACCTGTCTTTCCTAGTCTCTAGTGGTGCACCGCGGCTTGGGGCCCGGTTCCCACAGCTCCAGCGCTCCCCGGTTCCTTTCCACAGTAACACGGAGTTTGTCTAGGGCTGCAGCCTTCCCAGCTTAGCTGGAAAGCAATTAGCTGTGTGCAGACTATGTTTATGATAAAGTAACTCAGAGATGGAGGTTGCAGAGTTGAAACAGTGATCTTGGCATCAGTTCCTCTGGAAAGGGTAGGGGGGATTAAAAGAGGAGGAGGGCTGAGGATGTAGGTCGGTGGTCGAGTCTGCTTACCATGCAGGAGGCATGGTTTGAATTCCCAACACAAAAATAAAAAATATAAGAAATCAAGCTCCCAATAGAGTACCCACAAAGGCCTCAACCCACTCAGTGAAAATGGGAGCTCCAGACTACCTCAGACCTTCAGCTTTGTGTCAAGGGGACCAGGTATAAATTAACCATGTTATTGAACAGTCATAGGATGCCAATGACTTGGGAGAAGATGGATGAGCAAAAGCTGTCTTCTGGCAGCCTTGTAGCAGCCAGGAGGAAAAAAAAAAAACCTTTCATTCTTGAAAGAGGAGCTGGGAAACACATTATCTAAATTTTTAGGATACATCTCTAAAAAGGATGATTATTGACTTACAAATTACATATTTTAGTGTTATATTGATATACGTGTACATTATAGAACACAATAATAAGGAATTTAGAAATGACAAGTTGGTGCAATATGTTAAAATGGTTTGGTAATAGGTAATGGGTTCAGATTACTGTTAGTTACCCAGGGCAAACTTCATAAATGTTAGATAACAAAAATCTATACTTCTGGTACTTTTCTGGATCAAAAATTTTTGGCCAAGTTCTTCTCAGATATAACTATTCTACCTTGCAATATATTTAACATTATAGTACTTCCAGTTCTGCTACTGAGAACCCAAATTAGAATTAGTTTTGCTTCCTTTGATATAAAATACACGAACTTACATTTGTTCTCATTTTCTATATGAAGTATTGGTCCTTCACCTTTATGGGTTCATAGACCCCCTTTTGGAATATGATGTGACATATGGAACCTCTTCTAAGAAGTGTGCTAATATACTTTTACACAAACTTTATCATAAAATTTCAGGGGTTATTGCCTCATGAAATATCTTCATGGTTTCAAAACCTCAAACTAGAAGATACTGTGGGAGTAAAATCAGTTTTAAGAACAATAAAATTCCTTCAAGGTTGTAGAAGAAAAAGTTAATGTGGTTTTTGCCTACATTAATTTGAAAATAAAACAAATTGGAGACAGTTACCACTTTCAAGAATCTTTCCCTTTGATGCCTTTAATTTCAAAGACCAAGTTATATAAAACCTAGTAGTATACATCTTAAAAATTACTCTGAAGGGAAGGAATTTAGCCAGGGACAATGCCACAGTCCTGTAATCCCAGTGACTCTGGATGTTAGAGTCTGTAAACAAGTCAAAATAACACCTGGCATTTTGCCAGGGGAGTGTTAGAGTTCATAAACAAGTCTGGATGGTGCCTGGCAAAATGCCAGAGGGAGTGGTTTGAGAAGTAACAAAAGCGAGCTATTAAGTGTGGAGATTCCTTATTGGTTGACTGATGTATCTAGTTTATGCTAATTAGATAAGCTGTGTGGAATGTATAAATACTGCTCCTGTCCTTCAATAAACGGCTTCTACTCCTGCTGTATCAATCTACACAAGTTATTCGTCACCCCCCGGTTATTTTGCTGCAGCCGGACTGCGGCATCTGGAGACTGAGAAAGGAGGATGGTAAAGTCCAGACCAGTCTTAGCAACTTAACAAGATGCAGTCTCAAAATAATGAAAGGGATGTAGCTCAGAGGTATGGCATCTGTGGGTTCCATTCCAAGTATTGCCAAACAATAAGAAGAAAACACAAACACTTGATTTTTATATTTAGTTTTTTTTTTTTTTTTAAATATTTATTTATTTATTTTAGTTCTCGGCAGACACAACATCTTTGTTTGTATGTGGTGCTGAGGATCGAACCCGGGCCGCACGCATGCCAGGCGAGCGTGCTACCGCTTGAGCCACATCCCCAGCCCTATATTTAGTTTTGATTCTTTTTTTTTCCCAATGGAAAACTCATATTCCATGCATTCAAGATTTCTTAGAGTCTTGCTAAGTTGCCCAGGATGGCCTAAAATTCCTGGGTTCAAGCAATATTCCCACTTCAGTCTCCTTCCTCGCAGGGGCTACAGGCTGGCACCACCATGCCCAGTTCTATTAGGACTTCTAATAACTTGATTCCTGGCTTTTCAAATTTCTCTCACAGGTGAAACTATTGCAAAAGCAGCTCATCTGCTTCATACTGAAGGAAAACAATATTAGCAACGATTTATCTGTTGAGTAATAATTTTATTGAGACAGAATTTACATACCAGGCAAGTCACTATTTTAAATTACAAAACTTAACAGCTTTTTAGTATAACACCACAATCATTTTAGAACATTTCCTTAAAAACCATTAGTAGTCACTCCCCATTCCAGTGTTCCAGACTCAGGAAAATTCTTATCTACTTTGTTTCTATTTGCCTACCCTGGACATGTTCTTAAATGTCTATACAATGTAAGGTGTTTTGTGATTAGCTTCTTTCACTTAGTAAAATGTATTGGAAGTTTATAATGCTGTACCAGATATCAGAACTTCATCTTTTTTCATGGATGAGTAAGAGTCTACTCTAAGGACATACCACATGGTTATCAGTTAATGGACATTTGGGCTGTTTACAGTTTTGGATACTATGAGTAATTCAGCTCTCAAAATTTGTATGGATTTTTATATTGACTAGCCCCTGAACTTTGAACCACATAAGGCAAAAAGTTACACAGAGAAGGGCACTTATAGTGAAACAAAACTATACAAAACTTGCTTTGCAATCAATTCAGGTATTTCAGATTCAACCATATCCACATGTGAATTCACAAAAGTTTATTTTGACAGGGAAACTGGCATAGTTATACTATTGAAGAATTAAGAAATCCTTAAAGGCTAGATGATCACTAAGATCCTTCCATAAGCTAACAACTTAGTCTTTCTGTTACTCCTCCTTGAATAGGAAAGACCAGGTTGCAGATGTTCTATGTCCCAGGGAATAAACTACAAACATTGCTGAGCCCCTTGCAAGCAGCAGGCACAGCTGTGCACGGGAGTCGGGCCTTGGACAGAAGTGATCCCAGGAACATGACTTGCCAAGTTGCCCTGGTGTGCCCTATTTGGGTCTCAAATACTTGGTGCCCTCACCAATTTCCAACTATGTTGGGCCTCTTTCTGGCTACTAATCTGCTTATCCTTGGGCAGTGTTTCATGCCCCCTCCCATAGAGATCCTCACGGCTGACTCTACCCTACAAACCATCTCCACCCCACCTCTGAGGGTACAAACCCAACTTCAACACAGGATTCCATGTTGGATTAATGCCCTTTGGATGCCAGGTCCGATATGTGCTCAGGAGGTGAGTGACCATGAGAGCATATATGATCCACAGGATTTTCCATTAATAATATGTATGTGAGATTAAAAAGACAAAAGAAGTTTATGACTTAGCTGCATATATTATCATGGAATTTATCTGAAAGGAACACATTCAGAGGCATAGAAAGCACATTCATAAAGATTTCCTTCATTAGAATCAAGAAGAAAAAACACCAAAAAAAAAAAAAAAAAAAGGTTAAGTAACCAATTACGTCCTTTGCTTTGCATTTCAGAGTACTCATACTGTGGATTCTTGGAATTAACTTTATTGAAATCCAGTGAGTTTTACCTGATGCCAGCATGGGAGGCACAGCCTGAATCACAATTTACTGCTGGGGGGCGCTGCCAAGCTTTGCCATTCTTTCAGAGGAGGGTTTCCCTGGGAAGCCAGCTTTTTTAGGTAGTCGCTGGGCTCCAGTTGGGGAATATCAGGATTCTGCCTGTAGTACTTCTGCAACTTCTCCAGAACTGTGGGCAACCCAACTGTGGAAGCATAGAACATGGGCCCACCCCTGTGCCTTGGCCAGCCATACCCATTCAAGTAGATGGCATCAATGTGCTCTGGGCCAGCAGCCATCCCTTCTCCCAAGATACGGAACCCTTCATTGATGAGTGCATACAAGCAGCGCTCAAGGATCTCATCCTTGCTAATGACACGGGGTTCAATATGATGGGTTTCTCTGTACTGTGACAGAAATTTGGAAAGCCAGGGATCAGGTTTGTGAACCTTTCCCAATGGCTTGTCATACTGATACCACCCTCGCCCTGTCTTCTGCCCATAGCGTCCTGATTCACAGAGCATATCAGGAATCGGGCAGTATCTTCTAGTACCCCGCTTTCGGACAGGAGTACCAGGAGGCAATGTGGGTCCAGTAAGACCTTGTTCCTGGCGAATTTTCCAACCCACATCCAACCCAGCAAGGTCAGACACTCGAAAGGGTCCCATTTTAAAACCAAACTCCTCCAGCACCTGATCTACCTCTTCTGGCTTGCTACCTTCTTCTAACAAGAAATATGTCTGGTTATAATAAGGGACTAGCATTCGATTACCAACAAAGCCATGGCAGTTGCCTACGACTACGCCAATCTTCTTAATCTTTTTGGCTAAGTTCATAACAGTGGCAATGGTAGTGGGAGAAGAGTGTTGGCTAGGAATAACTTCTAACAACTTCATTACATGAGCTGGTGAGAAGAAGTGTGTGCCAATGACCAAGTGTGGTCGATTGGTGGCAGAAGCCATCTCATCCACGTCCAGGGATGAAGTATTGGTGCACAAAAATGCTTCTGGCTTGCACACAGCTGACAGTTCAGCAAAGACTCGTTTCTTCAGCTTCATATTCTCAAATACTGCTTCAACAACTAAGTCTACACTAGAAAACTCCTTCATAGATGAACTGAACCTGATTTTTGGTCCTGACCAAGGCTGGCCATTCTGCTGCATTTTGGATGCTTCCTTTTCCAAGGTGGAAGTTATTATCTTCTTTGCAGCTTCAAGCTGCTTTTGGTCTACTTCTACAGCAACCACAGGAATCTTGGCCCTTGCAAAAGAAATGGCAATGCCTCGGCCCATTGTTCCCAAGCCTGCAGAGAGAGTGCAGGAGAAAATGAATGATTCAGTGGATGGGGAATTAGAAACTAACTTATTGGACCACAGTTTCTATGGCAATGTGGCATTTAAAAAGACTGATTCAAGGACACAAATGGATGTCAGAGCATTTTAGTGAGCACAAGGGAGCAGTGGAAGACTACATCACAAAGTGATGGTGTTTTTGAGGTAGGAGGTGTGATGCATCCAGGGACCAGATAGATAAGAAAATTGATCAAATACTTAGCTGCAAGAGTGAAAGGCCATGCTTGAAATGTGCTACAAATATCAATCACAGTTTGGAAATCCTGGAGTGAGAGATTCATACAGAGAAGGGTTAGAGAGGAGTAAATAGTGCCCACAGTCTGGAGACAGACAGCCAAGGTCAGGCCCTCACACCACTAGAGTTTAGCTCACTCTGGAAAAGGTTAGCATCTCTAGGCCTCACACATAAGACGAAGGCAGTTTGAGGACTTGGGAGAGAATTACTGGAGCTAACAGGAGTAGTGATTTCAGCATAGAACCTGGGACCTGGTGTCCTGAAGTAAATGTTAGCTCTTGACATGCACACATTTGGAGAAGCCCATGAACCGCCCCCACGTGCTTACCAAGGACACCAACGGAGGAGATGGGTCGTGCTGATGCTGTTTTCCATGAGGCCCCAGAGGGAGTGGACCATTTACTTGCATTCTTTTCAGCAAAGAAAGCATATTGCAGGGCTCTAGCCTGCCCTGATCCCTGAAGGTACATAAACAGCTCCGCTTCCTCCTTGATGCCCACTTCATAGGGATACTTCACAGAGGCCTGGACTGCACGGACACAAGTCTCCGGAGCCAGGCACCCAGGGTACTGCTTCTGCATCTTTGCAAAGGCTTCCCTGAAAATGGTGTCCATGTTGGGCAAGCTTGGCACTGGCTTGTTCAAGATTCTGCGGGATTCTAAAGGTTGATCTGAAAGGAATAAGAATGATCAGAGATTTGGGAATGTTACTTAAACAAAGGGACTAGATTATACAATAACAATGATAATCAATTCCAAAGCAAATAATATTTATTAATATATTTAATGGGACACGAATACCAAAATCTTAGTCATTGTTGTAACTAGTCATTCAAGATAGAATTTAACAGATTCAAGACAATTTTAAGTTACTTTATTCGAATGTGAAAGTAACATTCTATTTTTATTCCAAGGACAATGTTATAATAGATTAAATATTATTGTGTCAAAGAGTCTAACACAACAACAGTTCTGAGATAATATCTGATATACAAAATAAAGTTAACTCAATTCTTATGACTAAAAAACCTTTAAAACACATATAAAAGGGGCTGGAGCTGTGGCTCAGTGGTAGAGAGCTTGCCTAGCATGTGTGAGGCACTGGGTTTGATTCTCAGCACCACATATAAATAAATAAAGGTCCATTGACAACAATATTTTTTTAAAAAACACATATAAAAGAATACAGTGTGATATTGATGCAAGGGTAGGCATATATATTAATGGAAGAGAAATGAGAGTTCATCAATAAATCAAATTATGGCTAATTGATGTTTAACACAGGTGGAAAGCAATTCAATGGAGGAAAGGAGAGTCTTTTGAACAAATGTTGAATACCCATATGCAAAAAAGATTAATTAATTAAACTCAGATTGTTACCTAGCAACTTCTGTAAAACCTCAAAATTAATCATAAATCAATTGAATGACTAAAACCATAAGAATTTCTAGAAGAAAACAGAGGGATATATATGTGATGTTGGTTAGATGGTGTCTTCTTATATACAGCACCAAAAGCATGATCCATAAAAGAAAAATAATCAATAAGTTGAATGAAATAAAAATTAAGGACTTGTATTCTACAAGGGACCCCATTAATAAAATGACATGAAGATCCACAGTGTGGGTGAAAAATTGAAGTGGTGGGCAGGATAGTACCATCCCACAAATGTCTATGTCCCAATCCCTAGAACCTGTGAACAGGTAAACTTAACTGGCAAATGGAATTTATAGGTAGGATTAAGATTAAAGGTTTTGAGAAGGGGAGATTACCCTCTGATATCTGGGTAGGCCAATCTAATCACAACTGTGATGGGAGAAATTCAACAACTAAGAAGGGCTTCTACCATTATGATCACTGAAAGAAGCCCAAAGCAAGAGATTACATATCATAGGATGCCATTTATAATATGCCCAGAAAAGGAAAATGTATCATAAGAAAAAAAAATGAAACAATGGTTGTCTAGGTGTTGGAGCAGGAGTCAGCAATAAAGAGCATAAAATAACTTTTTGTGAAAGTGAAAAAGTTTTAAAATTGATTAACAGGGACAGTTGCAGAACACTGCATAGCAAATTAGGACTCATTGAAGCCGTAAAAGTAACCTGGAAATGAAAGAATTGAGTCAGGTACAGGATCTTTCAGAAGATAACTGTAACATCTTATAGAAGAACACAAAATCAAACCTTAATAAAGAAAGACCCCATGTTCCTGGATGTAAATATTTAATAATATAAAAATATAAACATTTTCCACATATACTATATAGGAACATCTATTCAGAACACTTATGGTTCTATATTTTACTAAATAATTCAACAGGATGAATCTAATGTTTACATAAAAGAATAAATGTGTAAACTCTAGGTATTAGAGAAATTATTTTTTCAACGTGCCACTGTCTCCAGAATAAATCATTATATGAAAAATGTACAGAAAATCTACAAGCACTTATAAGGCAGCTCCATTACAGAAAAACCTATGACTCTGACACCATGTGTGAACATATATCCCCAGGGATGGAGCCTGGTCTGGATGTCTTCATGTGCACACGGGCATTATGTAATCTCATCCCTTGCTGTAAGCTACAAGGCAAGACTATTTCCTAATACTTGATTACTTGCAGAGTCGAGAAGAATACTTTTCAATGAATGATGTCCCACATGGTAAGAGCAGCATTCAGAAGAGGAGCAAAGACAGTGGTTATTAGCATGAGGGCCCTGCTTACTCTGCTGCTTTGGAGACACATGAACTGTACCCAAGAGACCCACAGATTACTTGCTCAACTGTTCAGTGAGTTAGCCCAGTCCTCAGTGTTGAGGGGGAGACAAGCTCAGCAGAGAAGGCTGGGATGGTCTACAGTCTACTGCTGGTTCCATTCACTGGTGGCCTAGAAGGGAGGCAAGAGAGGACAGTGGGGAGAGCAGGAAGGGGAGGACACGTGTGTAGAGGGCAAGTGGATGAGGAAAGAGGCCCAGCTGTCTGCATTGTGACCTGAACCTGTTGCTGGCTTAACCTGTCCAGAGCTGGAGCTCTGTCCTGCCACACTGCTGCAGCTCCCACCATGCCTGGGGCTGCCTCTCAAAGCACAGTCACTCTTGATTCCTTTCAAGAGTTTAAGACATTCAGATGGCCTGGGGCCCACCAAGACTCAGTTAAGATCCTTAAGGGTGGGGCCAGAGCAGGATGATTTTTAAAAGAGTTTTTAACAGTCGCTTTGAGCTATCCCTCCTGGAGATCCAAGAGCAGGGGGGGTCAGCCACTATATCAGGACAGCTGCAGGGTCTGGCAAGTTTTCTGAGGCCAGAAATTGGAAAGAATAAAAGGGGAAAAATGAGCAAACCAACCAGAAAAGAAAAGCCTGCTTAATGGAATGAAGCAATTATTTCTGACCCACATCATCCTGTTATCCTGGGATCCTCAGAACCTCTCAGGCTGTGTGTGGGCATCCTGGGAGCTCTCCCAGGCACCTGTCCAGGACAGCCTAGAGCCAGATGAAGCACATCCATGGGACAGGTTTGGTCAGGGCGCAGACAGCCAGCTTTTCCCTGCCTCGTCTCCTGTCTCTCTCTTTCTGTGGCTGTAGTTGAAGGATGCTGTTTTCTTCCACTCTGGGTTGTTTCACACAGAACACAGGCAAAACTTCCCCCTTACGTCTACAGAGAGAGTTGTTGAGAAAGTATTTATTCTACACTCAGACCGGTTAGTTTTAAAGTCACTCAGACTAGCACTGAGTGGAATGCTTTTTCTTTAGTCACTGTGTATTCTTTCACTTTGAACCATGGTGAGAACTATCAATTTTGACTTTTACTAACCTGTTAAATAGCTATACACAAGAAATTATGATGTCTCTCTCTCACCTGTGTCCCGTGCAGGTGATGGGAATGAGGTTCCCCTGGATGGAATGGGTTGGTTGAGACATAAAAGCTAGGAAAACATGGAACAGGGAAAGAATCACAGGACACAGAAAATAATTTCAAAAAGTGAGGGCAGGACAGTCTAACTAATCAAACAGAGGATGGAGCTTCTATACTGAAAAGGCAAAATGGACCCCGCTTGCTTGATTTATATTGGGGAACATCAAAGGCATTCCCTAGAATGTTCTTTACCAAAAAATGTTATAGGCGGGCTCTCCAGTTCCTATAGGGTTATGCTCATCTCCGGAGATACCATGAGGGATCTTCCTAATAGAGCAGAAATAAAGGTTATGTGCCTTGGGCAATCTATTGCATGGGAGAGCCACAGATATTTCCCAAGGTTAAACCTAAATTCTCCCTGGATGCCATACCAAAAGAAGACTCTCAAGTAATTCACGGGTGGCTTCCCACATCACTCTGCAGTACCTACAGAATAAGAGAGTCGAGTGGGCAGGTCAGCAGTCCTACCCAGGGAAAGGGGAAGAGAGGCACTGCCTAGTGATTCAGGTGTACTCATAACTGAACTCTTTCATGGACCCATTCACATGAATTTTGACTTCATTCTATTTGGGATCATAAAGATGAAGATGAAGTGTATTCTAATTTTTATTAAAACGTAGTGTAAAATTGTACTTAAGGAGAAAAAAAAAAAGATTATTTCTCCTTCACCCTTCTACTAACCCGACAGGAACAGATTCTCTCTGCCTAAGCTAAAGAGCGGACTCAGCATGCAGTTCACAGAATTCCTTTCCTCAGACACACAGGACCGTCTGTCTCCTTCCTAGCTGTGATAAGCAGTAGCCTCTGTGCATCCTTGAGGCTCTGCAAAGGATGAAACAACTGTACAGGCTTCAGGGAGGTCACCCACAGTAAGTGTGTAGCACGTTAAGGGGAAGCTCAATGTGGACATGTGCTGAGCCTCCAACATGAGACAGAGTCACTCTTCTGTCTTTAAACTTGTTTATATAAAATGTTCATAGAGAATAAAATTAAACTACAAGAGCAAAAGATAAAAGGAGGCGGGAGGCCCAGGAAACCACTAAGGTTTTTTTAAAAGCCACAAATCCAAATGAACAAATACACCAAGTTCTTTGGGCAGAATTGGAGTTCTTCAAAAGGCCAACAGCCCAGCACAGCCTCTACCACATAGACACAGAGAGAGCACCGACTTGAGGCTGCCAGGTAGATGTGCCCTGGGCCCATCCCTGCTGGATAGGGGGGCACAGAGCCACAGGGTGTTGGTCTTTGCTCTTACTTGCAGCTTCACGCCGGAAATGCACACATGGGGACTAGGAATTCTCACTCAGTTCTGGGACAAGCCAGCTGCTGGCCACATGCAAGTGCAAACCGATGGCCTCTCACAGGACCCTCCCCTTTCCAGGTGAGCCAAAGCAAGCAGGTCTGACCCAGGAATCCTGCATTCCTCCACTAAATCTATTGCACTGCTATAGACTAAGGGGCTTCGTATAACAAGAAAATTAAGCTGTGTAAAGCTAATTAGCTAAAACAGCCAATTTGCCAGGATATGTTAAGTTTGTAGAGAAATCTGCAGTACATTAGTAGACCCATTCGTAGATATGTAACCTCTTACACTCCCGTCCCACCTATATCTGGTTCCAAAATTGATGAGTGGAATAGTAACCATAGGATATAAAGAAGGAAATTCCCTATCTCATGAGATATAGAAACTAAGTATGTCTTCTTAACCTTTACTTTTGTTTGTTTGTTTTGATTCAATATTTGAGTAGTGACTAGGGAAAAAAGGCCGAAATCAAAATTTTTCAAATGAATTTTTTTTTTCAAATTTTTCAAGTGGAAAAAGTGAATTAAAAATATTTGTACTTATTGTTTCAATTAAGATATCATTCACATACCACAGAAGTCATGTGGCTTTTTAACCATGTTTTTCATAACTGACTTGCTGATGTCTTTAAGACCGCACTCAGGGGCTGGGGATGTGGCTCAAGCGGTAGTGCGCTCGCCTGGCATGTGCATGGCGCTGAGTTTGATCTCAGCACCACATAAAAATAAAATAAAGATGTTGTGTCCACCGAAAACTAAAAAATAAATATTTTTAAAAAATCCTCTCTCTATATTTTTTTTTAATTTTTATTTTTTTTAAAGAGAGAGAGAGAGAACTATTTATTATTTATTTTTTGGCTGACACAACATTTTTGTTTATTATGTGGTGCTGAGGATCGAACCCGGGCCACACGCATGCCAGGCGAGCGCGCTACCGCTTGAGCCACATCCCCAGCCCCTCCTCTCTCTCTTTAAAAAAAAAAAAAAAAAAAAAAGACCGCGGTCAGTGCTTGCACATCACGTGGAAAAAGTAGACCCCAGAAAATGTAATCTCCTTCTTACCCCTATGATCCCTACTCAATGGTTCTCAAATGGTGGTCTCCAGAACACAGCACTAACATCACCTATGCACTTGATAGAGACAAATTCTTTGCCCCCACTCTCCATATATTGAATCAGAAAGCAATGAGTGGAGCCTGCAATCTGTGTTTGAAGTCGTCCAAGAGTTTCTGCTGCATAGGAAAGTTAAGGAACCATTGTTCCATATCAAGACAATTGCACCAGCATTACAGAAGCATAAATCTCCTTGTATTCATATGTTTATTTATGATAAATGCATATATATTTAATAACTAGTGCATTAGTTTTTTGTGGTACCTCTCCATCAAGTCAATACATCAATTTTGTTTTGCCAAAAGATCTCATAGAGCTATATTTAAAAGCAAACAACAACAAAAAAGGGAAACATAAAAAGAAAGAATAAGCACACAATCTCCAGTGAACATGAAAGGAACAAAATAAATAGGCACAGCTAAATTATGCATTTTGTGAGAACCTAAGTGGCAAATAGAGATAAAATTCTGAGTCAGTCCTGTTTTGATCAGTCTGATTTCTCTACCATATCTCTAGCATTTATTATCTATGAGAAAACAGCACCAAGCCATCACAGGATTTCAAACACTGGTACTCATTAAAAAAATAAACAGTAAATGTCCTGGAAATTTTCTTGGGACTCTAGTCACTGAACTCCAAATCTGACAGGGTGAGGCTGCTCAGAGGAGAGCAAGGACTACACAAAAGAGAACCCAACCACTAGAGCCTTTGTGGTATCAGAATATGATTTGAAAACAATTTTGTGGATACTTTTCCTTTTACGGATGAAAAAAACATAAAACCCCACAAGGAAATTTGTTGTGGTCCACATTTCTTCTGATGTCTAAGCCCATTTCTCTATTACACTGCACCCCTTGCATGCTGGCCCAGCCCCCCCTTTCTCCTTTCGGTCAATTAATGGCTTGGGTAATAGGGAGAGATAAATATTAAAAAAAAAATTAAGGATTTTCATTATTTATTATCCCAGTACAACTTCTGATAAAAATCTACTATAGTGAGGGCTGGGGTGTGGCTCAGCAGTAGAGCACTTGCTTCCCACATGTGAGGTACTAGGTTCGATCCTCAGCACCACATAAAAATAAGGTTTAAAAAAATCAATTATAGTTCATTATACTGGTTCCTTATACAGATAGGTACGTGAACACCCAGACATTTGTGAAATTTCACACCAGGCCGTTTTCTTCTTAATACTACGTGTAAACATTTTCTCAAGTTCTTCAGTTTTCTTCAAAGACACAAGTTTTAGTGGCTGAATAGAATTGTCTCATTGAGATTGATCATCTTTTAGGTAATTAATTCCCTAAAATTAGATTTTTGAGATGTTTCCATTTGTTTTAAAGGTTTTTTTTGTTTGTTTGTTTGTTTTTTAGTTACACATGGACACAATGTCTTTGTTTATTTATTTTTATGTGGTGCTGAGGATCAAACCTAGTGCCTCACATTTGGGAGCCAAGCGCTCTGCCACAGAGCTACAACCCTAGCCCGTTTCCATTGTTTTTCAATGATAAAGATTCAGTAATCATTACTATGCTTGAATCTTTTTATATTCTGTGATGATTTCTCTAAGTAAATTACCAGGAATATAAACGCTAAGTAAAAAAAAATATGAATACTTTTATGCCTTAGTATACCAATGGCCTATTGACCTGTAGATAGGATGTATTACAAATAGTTCAAGGAAATCTTATTAAATATTCAGCCTCATTCCATTAGTTTTCTGTTTTTTTCTAATTTTCTTGGCAAAAATTAGTGACTTTTGAATTTTTTCTTTCCATTTATGATGTTTAAAAAGCATGTGAGAGTTAACTACACATTTACTTTACAATCTAGTTACCCAATTCTCTGGTATTTACCTAACAGACAAAATAATATCTATTTATAAGCTGGTGGAGGTCTAGAGTAGAATCAACTCAATGTCCATCAACTCATAAACACATACAGAAATTGGGGTTTTCCCATTTTATGGAATATAGTTTAGTAATCAAATCTAACCCAATATATGCAACAATACTATGACTCTATAAACATTACACTAAGTGAAAGAAGCCAGACACAGAAGACACCATACTGTATGCAGGATTCCATCTACATGAAATTCTAAAAAAAAATAACACTACAGTGACAGGAGACAGGTCAGTGGCCAAGGGAAAGACAAAGGGACTACCAGAAAGTGGCTTGAAGATACTTTCTTAGTGTGGCACTGAGCACACGATTGTGCACCGTTACCAACACTTACCACCCTACAGTCAACTTGGATAAATTTATTGTGTAAACTGTAAAAAAAAAAAAAAAAAATCTCCTTTAAACTGCTTTGGCTGACTGACAGCAGCACCATTCCCAGAGGCAACCATGCCATTTCTGGTGAATCCTAACATACATTTTGCACATAGACCAACAGTTTTATATATCCATTCTCCCCAAAATACATTCTATCCCCTCACCTCTTTTTATAACAACAGTGGCAAACTATCACAAATGTTGCTTTTTTCACTAAATAATATATCATGGGTTCATGCCACATCAGTACATTCATTTTTAAGTTCAATCATCCTCTATCACATGGATGTCCCATAAGATATTTAAGGAGTGTCTTGTTAAAATGGACATTTAGCTTATTTCCAATCTTGTGAAATTATCATCATTATCTTCTTACCTAAAATTCTCTGGGCAAATTTGACTGCTGCTTCTACTGGGTCTGAGTTCACAACTTCATCCAGAATGCCCAGTTTGAGTGCATCACGGGCCAAAATGTGTCTTCCTAAAATAAAACAAGTCAAAGAATATGAGGTTAAAGTGAGAATCTTGTTCTCTCTAGTAGAGAAGGCTGTCTTTCTAGGATATAAACATCTACTATGAATTGCCAGTCTCCTGTGTTCAGGGTGGCCCCAGCAGCCTTAGTATTGGAAGGAAGGTCACCTCTAGGGAGTTACAGAAATTGATCAGGGTTTGCATCACTATAGAACTGGGCAGTTCTTCACCACTTATAAGATGTGATCTGATGTGCATATTCTGAAGTACAGGTGTGGCCTTAAGCACAGGGCCAGAAGGAAGGAGAAAATGACAGGCACTATCTTTCTTGCAATGCACAATCCTGACATCAGAAAAGCAATCATCAAATCAGTCTTGGTGGCAATAATTCCTGGGTCTTCCCTGCCCTTACAATATTGGCAGATGCCACCTCTGCAACAAAAACCTCCATTCCTGGGTCCTATGAGTGCTTCAAAGAGCTACAAATGGGTTTTCATGACCAGGTGAACAGTTCAGTGATTTCCAGGGGTCCTGCTGGAAAAGCAGTATTGGGGCACTTTTCTGGAAGTGCCTTGAAAGCAGGCTTCCAGATCCTCTCCTGTAGTGCAGAAGGGGGTATGGAGTAGGTGAGTAGTGTCAGGGGTCAAATGTCCCATGTACACAGTCACTTTGGGTGAAGGTTAAGTAAATCAGCCTAACCAGGTTAGGGGCACTGAGGGGACATAAATGGAAGACAGAAAACTAAAAGGATCTCTGGGACAACAAAGCAGGGGAATAGGAGCCACCCACAGATGGAATGAAAAGCTCTTCATCTGTAATGATTTCTTTCTGGCTTGGATTTCACAAAAAATGAAGGAATACCACTACTGTTGTCCCAGTGTCAGTCACATTCCAAGCAAACTTATTCTCTTTCAAAGAACTAAGATGGGCAAACCAAATCCTCAGGCTGTGCTTTAAACTTGTTTTCCCTTGGGCCGCCCTCAGTGTATATGACAACTCCTGCCAACAGGCTCTAAGAAGAGCACTGTGTAGGTCAATGTCAAGAGATCCCAAGGCAAGAATTCTAAATCAGACACTTTAAATAGTTCACATTCTGTAAAAGGAACTTATAGCATTATAAATTAAAACAATTTGTAAGTTGATTTTTAAAATAAATTTAATGCTTTCAATTTTTCTAACTGTTCCTTCATATTTTATAGGATTTATAAGTCCCATCTCATTTTATTTTAATTAATTAATGTACTTATTTGGGGGGAGTCAAATCATTTTATTGAGGGAATTGGAGGTAAATAGTAAGTACTAAAGAAGCTCTAAAAAGGACAGTGAAGGTGGATGTCCTTGGCAGGGCCAGATCTTGCTGTCTCCAGGGAAAATAAGCTACCCACATCATTTTAAAGAATAAAGTCAGGGCTGTGGATGTAGCTCAGTGGTAGAGTGTTTGCCTAGCTAGCATCCCTGAGGTCCTGAGTTCAATCCTCAGTATTACAAAAGAACAAAAAAGTAATTTTTAATGCATATACAATATTATTTTCTAATGTATACACAGTTTTCATAGTTCTTTTGTCAAAACATGTAGATTTTGCTGGGCATAGTGACACATGCCTGTAATCTCAGCTACTCATGAAGCTGAAGCAGGAAAATTTACAAGTTCACAGTCAGCCTGGGCATCCTAGGGAGATCCTGTTGAGACAGTGAGCCCCCCCCCCCATGACAAAGGACAAATGCAGTCCTGGGACTTAATTCATAGCCTGTCAGCTATTACATGTGTGCTATATGCTTTTTCCTGCCTTCCAACCTTGAACTCATAGCCTGTTCCCCATAGAAAAGTGTGGTATGTTTCTTCTCTATCCCTCACTCCATAATCTTACTGACCTCAAAGACCAGGTACATCCCTAAAGTTAGGATGCCTTTGCCTTAATATCTGCAAGGATCAACTAGATAACAGAGTGAAACTATTTGGGGATTGCTGCAAATGGCTAATGACAAATTCCCTGGCCCCTCAACCTGTTACCCCCATGATTTTGCTTTCATCTACCCCTCCCTCCCTGTGTCCTCCTAACAGCCAGCAACTCATCTCATTACAGGACAAGGATGACAGGATGAAGCATCAGTAGGACAGACTGTAACATCTGGCTCCAGACTGAGAAACTGATTGCCCCTCCCTGGAGGCTGAAGTGCTCACACAGAAAAAGAAACACTTTTGTAATGTACCCAAAGTCAATTAAAGTTTCTAAACTGTAGCCCACTCCTCCACACAAATAAAACTATTTCTTTCATTTATTCAGAGAGGGGATGTTATCTCTACCAGAGTTGACTCCCCCTCCTTGAGGAAAAGTTCCCCAACTAAAGCTTTGTCTGTATATTCTATCCCTTGGACCAATTTTCCCTTGTATTTTTCTGGTATCACCGTTTCAAAATAAAATTTACAAAAAGGGCTGAGGTTGTAACAAAGGGGTAGAGTGCTTGCCTAGTGTGGAAAAGGCCCTGAGTAGAATCCCCAGTTTTGCAGAAACAAAACAAAACAAAACAAACAACATATTTCTAGTAGCAATTCTCATATGTCTAAGTCGTATGGCCCTTCACATTCTTAAAACTTATGAAGGACTACAAAACGTTCTTGTTTGTATAGGTTATATCCATCAATATTTACTGTATTAGAAATTAGAACTGAGAATTTTTTAAATTTAAAAAAAATTTTTTTAGTTGTTGGTAGACATTTATTTTATTTATTTTTGTATGTGGGGCTGAGAATCGGACCCAGTGCCTCACACATGCCAGGCAAGTGTGCTACCGCTGAGCCACAGCCCCAGCCCTAATTAATTTTTTAACATGGTCCTTTTTTTTTTCAGTTGTAGATACACACAATACTTTTATTTTTATTTATTTTATATGGCTCTGAGGATCGAACCCAGTATCTCACACGTGCTAGGCGAGTGCTCTGCCACTGAGCTACAACTCCAACCCTATATGAAATGATTTTAAAATAATAATGATAAATCATTATATGTAAAAAATTTTTATACAAAATAACTAAATTTACAAAATTTTTAAAATTTGCTTCTTTTACTATATATATAGTCTAACACCAAGATCCTTATCCTAGTTTTACTCAGTAAGGGTCAGACTTGAGAATAATAATATATAGCTAAGACTTACAGAGTCCTTATACATGTCTAGGCAGGTTCTAAGCACTTTCTATGTATTGACCTATCTGATCTTCACCACATCATCATAGGGCCAGTACTATTATTATACACACATGTGAGAAATCTAAGGAAGAGAAAGGTAAAGTCACTGATCCAAGATGGCAGAATTAATTATACTTGTTTGGAGTAAATAGATGTATTTGTTCTTTTCTCCAATGCTTCCTCAACTGAAAGCCTCCATAATCTTACAAACATTACCATTTGACAAATCTAGGGTTTAGTGTTACATTGTTCATCTTCTCCACTGAAAAGAAAAACTTCTATTTGTAGCTAATATCTTAAAACTTGGGAAATGAATAATTCAGTCATTTGTAAATTTAAACTGGAAAATTCATCCTGAAAATCTTGGCTTTAACTCTAGTTGATATTAAAATTTCTAAGCCATATCTGAATACAATGTTCCCTATATGAACACAGGATCTATGAACAGTCACTTAAACTGTAATACAACCCTAAATTTGATGCACACACACATACGCTTTCCTTATGGAGTTTTTATCATGTCTAAGAGGGTTCTAAGCACATGATGTGTATTAACCTACCCAATCTTCACCACATTACTATATGGCAGGTACTATTATTATCCACATATGTGAGAAATCTAAAGAAGAGAGAGGTAAAGTGACTGACCCAAGATCTCATAATTAATGAGATTGCACATGAGATCTTTGTGGTAACATCTGAGAAAGTCTCAAGGAAGACACTGTTTCTATTTTACAGATAAGATAATTTATAGACAAAAATTTAAAATATCCCCTTAAGGTTATGTGGTAGCAAAAGTGGTCAAGCCATAATTTTTTGCTGGTTCCACCTCACATTGGTCTATATAGTCACGGGCAAGATTTACACTGACCTGATGTAATTAAGTCAAGTGCAGCAGGAATTCCAATGAGTCTGGGGAGAAGCTGGGTTCCTCTTGCACCAGGAAGAATTCCTAGTGTGACTTCTGGGAAGCCAACATGAGCCTATCACATTGAAGGTATAAAGGCCAACAATGAGATAATACATTCAGATTTAAGACAAACTGGATTAATATCCCTGGATTTTCTATACCCTCAAAAACATTATTTCATTGGATTCAGCAAGAATTTCCACAGGGAAAATTAATGTATACCCCCTCCTTTAATTAACAGCACAAGCAGAACTGTGCTGGGTTTCACATGTCCAAGACTTCATGCTTCCTAGATATCTCACACATTTCTTCTCTGAGTCAATTATGACCTGTCTCAAACAACAAAACAATAGCCTCCAAGAACAGTTTTCTAGGAACCTGCAAAAGCCAGGAAGCATAAAAAACCGAAAAGAGAACCAACAGAATGGGTTGATAATATTGGTAAATTATAGACAGTGATAAAGGACTTGTATCTAAAATATACCAAGAACTTTAACAACTCAATAATGAAAAAGTTAAAAAAAAAACCCAACCAATTAAAAATGAACAAAGGATCTGAACAGACATGTCTTCAAAGAAGGAATAAGGACAAGGAGAGGTATTTAATATCATTAGCCATCAGGGGAATGCAAATCTAAACCACAATGAAATACAACTTCACACCCACTAGAATGAGTACAAGAAAAAAAGCAGACAATAACAAGTGTTGGAGAAGATGTAGAGAAGACAGAGCACTTATACATTAATGGTGGAAATGAAAAGGGGTAAGTCACTATGGAAAACAATTTGACAATTCCTCAAAGGTTAAACAGAGTTATCGTAAACCCAAGAGCAATGGAAACACATGGCCACAAAAATCTCTTATGCCGAAAAAGTAGGAAAAACCCAAATGTCCACCAGTTGATGAATGGATAAACAAAATGTGGTACAGCCATACAATATATTCAGCATCAAAGAGGAATAATGAAGACATTCATCCCACAATGTGGGTGAACATGAAAGCATTAAGTGAAAGAAGCCAGTCACAAAAGACCACATGTTGGATGAATCCATTTATATCAAATATCCAGAATGGACAATTCAACTGATACAGAAAGCAAATTAGTGGCTGCTTAGCATTAAAAAAAGAAGAGGATACAAGGTTACCAGTAACTGATCCAGTTTCTTTTGGGTGTGATGAAATGTTCTAAATGTGGGAATGATTGTACAACTCTGTGAATATATTCCTATACTGCTGAGCTGTACGCTTTACAGGGGTGAATTGTATGGTAGGTGAATTACATCTCAACAAAGGGCACGTATATGCACACATACAGGCCCGACAGTAACCTCAGTTTACACAAGAGGGTGAGCTTGAGTCCTTACCACCCTGCCTTTCCCAGCCATTTAAAAGTGGTCAAAGCTCTGTTATTCCTTTACAGTCACAAGGGTGGAAGGAAGCTGCCACATACCCAGATGGTTATGCCAACAGCTCCAAAATACCTTGTCTATTTGAGCCTCTCTCCCAAGAGGTTTACCTGTCAGTGGGTCACCACACACATTCCCACTGTTCATCCCAACCTCCTGACTTACTAGTCACTGAGATCTCCCCTCACTCTACAGAAGGCTGGGGAGAGAGGAACAAATTAAAGGAGCACTTGCAATATGCATGTGTCTTAAAAATCTTATTTGAACACTCTATGGAATATAGTACAGGTTGAGCATCCTGAAATGCCTGGGATTAGAAGTGTTTTCAGATTTCAGATTTTGCAATATCTGAATATACACAATGATATCTGTGGATGGGACCCAAGGCTAAACATCGTTATGTTTCATACACACCTGATGCATATGCTGGAAGGTAATTTTATACAATATTTGAGTGTGCCTGCCTTTTAATGTTCACCTACCACAGGAGATGGATCAGGTATGGAATTTTCCACTTGTGGCATCATGTCTGCACTTAAAAATTGTTGGATTTTAGAGGCTTTGGTTTTGGGATTAGAGATGCTCAACCTATGTATTTATATGATGGAAAATTATGTAACCTTTTAAAATGACATTTTAAAAGAATGTTATAACAAAAATAACATGATTTCTCATCAGAAACCATTGAAGACCAAGACAGGAATGACATTCAAAGTACTGAAAGAAAAAACTGCCAAACTAAGAATTGAATAGCCAGCAAAATACCTTTTGAAAATGAGGACAAAATTAACACATTCCAGATAAACAAAAATGGAACTTATTGCTAGATCTGTCCCACAAGAAATTCTTCAAGCTAAAATGAAAAGATACTAGAGAGTAAGCTGAATTCACAGAAAGAAATGAAAAATACTCATAAAGGATAACTATGTAAGTAAGCATAAAAGACAGTACTAATATATTTTTAAATTTATAATTCCTCCTTTCTCATATCATGGAAAAGACCACCACAAAAGCAATAAGGATAAATCTGCATTGATGGGTCTATGATATGTAAAAAGATGATTTGTGATAATAACCACATAAAGGGAAGCATTTTTTGTATTCTATCAAAATTAAAGAGGTCTGAATCTGAGCTAGATTGTTAAATATTAAGATGTTAATTGCAATCACCAGTACCACCATCTCTCTCTCTCTCTCTCTCTCTCTCTCTCTCTCACACACACACACACACACACACACACTCAATTCAAAAATATATAGGAAAAAAACCCAGAAGGGACTTAACAGGGCACACTATAAAATACCTATTTTTCACAAAAGAAAGCCCTAGTGGAGGAACTGAGGAACAAAGACAAAAACACAAAACAAATAGTAGAGAGGCAGAAGTCAGTGCTTCCTTATCAATAAAGATGTTAAATGTAAATGTATGTTAAACTGTCCAATTGAATGATGGGATAAATGGGATATAAGCATAAAAATACAGTATACTAAGTACAATAAAATCCCAAATGTTGGTTTAAAAAAAAATAAAAAGATACCAAAGCAGGGAATACTTGCAAAGAACAAAATTACATAAGAAAAAAGACTAATAGAAAGTATAACAGAATGAAGTTCCCCTTAGCTTCCTTGGGAAGCCCTACGGTGAAGGTTAAGGGAAGCAAAGAGACAGAAGGCTCAGAGGAGTGGCTATTTACCAACCAGAATGCAAGTGTTTCAGCCCCCAAACAATAGCTGAACCCCTACAGGACAGCTCAGCACCAGTGCTGGAGATACCCAGGACTTTTAACCAGAGAGCTAACCATTCAAAATGCCCACCTCTGATGCTCATGGCTACGGTTAGAACTTGCCCTGAAGAAAAGCCCCACACCAACCTCCACAAGGAGACTCAGCTGTTACCTCTGCATGAGCAATCCTATAGTGACACCCCAAGGCCAGCTCCAGTCCCCCTCCTAAGGCCACGCCTTGGATAGCGGCTACCACGGGCTTCTGGTATCTCTGTATTTCATCTACTATACTTCCCAATCGAACGCCAGAGGATCTAGGAGCACTGAAACTGTGGATATCTGCACCTACAGGACACAAAGACAAAGAAAAAAGAGGGTTGAGAAAGACAAGTGCTTTGTTATTAACACAAGGGACCCGATCACTCTTAGGAAAGCTTAGACCTCACTGAATCCAGGAGACACTTTGTCCTTATACTGGAGATACACAAAACAACTAGTCCAGGAAACACAGAATTAAATGAGAGAAGGAATCTCTACTAGGAATCCTGTAACCATCTCTGTCTTTCCATGGTAGGTAGCAACTCTAGCTTTAAGCAAATTTAAAATTAAAGCTTAGAGAAGGGGTTCAAGGAGTCTCCACCCAAGACTATCCTTCTGAGATTGAATTGGCCTCTCATTGTTTGCATGATCTGTTTTCAACCCTGTTCATGGCAATTTAGTCTCTTATCTTTGCTAAGAGCGTGAGTCATTATAATACAAAATGCCAGGGTAAAATATATACATACTTGTGAACTATATGTCAATCAACGGGCTTAGAATTATATCTTGATAGATTTTTTTTATGATTAGGGAAACTAACAATATTTCTTGCTTTTCCTGAGTATCAAAATTAACACATGCATTATAGAAAAGTAGAAAAATGCAAAAAATTATAAAGAACATATGGATCACCCTAAATATTACCACACGAAGATAATAATTTAAGATGTGGTGAATTCATAGATTTTCCCCATGCTTATATAAATAGTTTTGTAACCTTGAATAAGTTATTTCATCCTTGTCTCAATACCTTTCTTAAACAACTGATTTGAGAATTGAATTAAAGTTTAATGGTATTTTGAATATTACAGCATACTGTAAAGTCTTATTTTACATTTTATATTTTCATGTCATCATACATAGTGAGCTTTTTTCCTATAGCATTCTCTATTCTTTGAAAGCAATAAGTATGGCACCAGTATAAAAATTAATTATTTCATGCTTAGCCTATTCACCTATTCTTTTTCTTTTTCTTCTTACTACCTATTCAGGGCATCAATTCAGGGCTTTTGCTTTTTTCTCACCAATCCTTTGTATTTGACTTTCCAGCCCAGTGTTTTGTGTGTTTTTAAGATTCCTTTTGGTTCTAGAGAAATGCGATCAATTCTAATTTGAGCCTCAGGCCCATCATTCCTGCAGCTTCAAAATGAGATGGAGTCTCATGGCTAATAGAAATTAACATTTATTAGTAAATATATCAGGCTCTATGCTAAGGGTTATGGTTTGGATGTAAGGTGTCCCCTGAAAGCTCAAGTGTGAGACAATGCAAGGTTCAGAGGAGAAATGATTGGGTTATAAGAGCTTTAACCCAATCAGCAAATTAATCACCTGATGGGATTAATTGAGTGATAACTGAAAGCAGGTGGAGTGTGGCTGAGGAGGTAGGCATTGGTGGTGTGGCTTTGGGTATATATTTTGTATCTGGCCAGTGCAGTCTCTCTCTGCTTCCCTCCACTACACTCTTCTGCCATGGCGTTCTACCTCACCTCAATCCCCGAGCAATGGAACTGGCCTTCTATGGACAGAGACTTCTGAAACTGTGAGCCCCTAAATAAACTTTTCCTTGTCTAAAATTGCTCTTGTGGGGTCCTTTAGTCACAGCAGTGGAAAAGCTGACTAAAACACTAAACAATTTCATATAGTATGTCACTTAATTTTCAAAACACTTAGTTTAACAATCTCCCTTTAATGAGTAAAGAAGTTAGGTTTTGAGATGTTAACTGATGAATTGAGACATACAACTAGGCTAAGATTTATACTCAGGCAGTCTGGTTACAAATCCTGATGCTTAAATGCTGTATTAGAGTCTTCTACTTAACATATAAGGGTGGAGTGGAGTTATTATTGCTCCAATTTGACAGAAACCAAGGTACAGCATAGAAATCTGTTTTAAATTATTTCCAGCACAGAGAAATCCAATGATTTTTGAATACTGATTTTATATCTAGCAAAATTGCTAGATTCTTTTCTTAATCCTAATAAATTTCTGATAGATTTTTTTCCCTTACTCTACAAACGTTACTATATCTTCCTTTCTTTTTTTTTTAAAGAGAGAGAGAGATAGAGAGAGAGAGAGAATTTTTTAATATTTATTTTTTAGTTTTCGGCAGACACAACATCTTTGTTTGTATGTGGTGCTGAGGATCGAACCCGGGCCACACGCATGCCAGGCGAGCACGCTACCGCTTGAGCCACATCCCCAGCCCCTTATATCTTCCTTTCTAACATTATTTTTCTAGCTCACTGAGCCACACAGGACCTCAAATACACTGTCAAGTAGAAATAGTAAGATTAGTCAGCTTTCAATTCTTTCTTATAAAGACAGTCTTCAATTGATCATTTTCTTGATATATGCTGATTTTTTTAAAAAAGGTGTTTTAACTGGTAGTAAACTAGGTAAAGAAAGGAAATGTTTCAAACAGTTTTTATCTCAAATACGTGTCAAATGGTATTGAATATTTGTCCTGCATTTCTTGAAATAATCGTGATTGTTCTGGTCAATCTTTTAACAGGATGAATAACATTAAACTATTGTTCAACCAATTGGTATTTCTAGGACATAAGTGATATATTATACCATTTATATACTGTTAGGTTCAGTTTCAGAATGCACTAAGATTTTTATATTTACATTTATGAATGAAATTGGCCTGTGATTTTTGCTTCCTTATACTGACAAAGTAAAGTATCAGGGTCAAGCTTATGTTAGTTTCTCAAAAGGAGTTGAGACGTGGACTGGGTTGAATAGTGCCCACCCAGAACCTGGGAAGTGACTTTATTTGGAAATACGGTCTTTGCAGATGTAATCAAGTTAAGAAGATGGTGGCCCTGTGTAAGTTCAGGAAATTTGATATGGACCTATAGGGAAGAAAGCAATGTGAAGACAGAAGTAGCAGACTGGAGTAAAGTATCTACCAGCCAAGGACTGATAGCACCACAAAAAGCTAGAAGACGCCTGTTATCCAGCCACTCCGGAGGCTGAGACAGGAGGACTGCAAGTGCAAAGCCAGCCTCAGCAACTTAGCAAGGCCCTAAGCAACCTAGCAAGACTCTGTTTCAAAATAAATAAAAAAAGGGCTGGGGATGTGGCTCATTGGTTAAGCATCCCTGGGTTCAATCCCCAGTACAAAAGAGGAAGAGGAAGAGGAAGAGAATGGAGGAGGAGGAGAAAAAGAAGGAGCAACAGCAGCACCTAGAAGAGACAGGAAGGATTCTTCCCTAAAGCCTTAGGAGGAAGAGTGGCCCGGCTGATATCCTGATTACAAATATCTAGCTTTCAGAGCTGAGAAACAATCAGCTTCTGTTGTTTTAAGCCACTTGGTGTGTGAAAATGTCTTAAAGTGGCCCTAGGAAACTGAAAAAGGCAGGGTTCCCTTCCCTTGGATTCTCTAAAACATTTGTGTGACATTGGAATAATATTCTCCTTGACTTTATAGCAGTTTGCCAAGGAAGTCATCTGGACATGAAATTCATTTTGCAAGATTTTTTATTACTGATGGCATTTCTCTAATGGTTATAGAACTTCTGGGGTTTTCTATTTTTCCTTGAGTCCATTTGGCAAGCTATATGTGTCTCCTGCTTCATAATATTGTCATTCTCTTTTTTAGTGATGACACAATCTGCAGGGATAACTTTATGATCTCTCCTCAAATGCATTGCTCCACCTTCTCTTTTTCCTTGATCATTCTCCCCAGAGACTTCTCAGTTTTATTAGTTTTTTTCAAAGAACTAACTTTGACAGTGTTGCTCCCCTTGATTCACTCTTGTTTTTCTATTTTGTTAATTTTTTCTCTTCATTATGTCCTTCCTTCTATGTTATTTGGGTCTGTTTTACTGTTTGCTTGTTTTACCAGTTTCATCATAAAGATGTTTAGCTCGTTATGTTTCAACCTTTTTTTTCTTTTCTAATATAGACTTTAAAAGCATTTTTTTCCTTTGGTCTTTTATATGGCTTCATCCCTCAAGTTTCAAATGTTTTCACTGTCCTTCAGTTTAAAATATTATTTGAATTCCATTAAGATTTCTGTTTTGACTAAGAGGTTAAAAAATTAATTTCCAAACATAAGAGATTTTTAAGTTTTATCCCTGTTATTCATTTCTAGCCTAACCCCATTTTTGTCAGAGAATATATTCTAAATGAAATTTATTGAGACAGGCTTTATTTTTTTTTTTCTTTTCATTTTGGTGCTAGAGAGTGAACTCAAGGCCTGGAGAAAACAAAGCACAAGCCCCATCACTGAGTTAACCCCAAACCCAAGACAAAGACAAACCTTGATGATCCAGGCCTCACTTGATTTTTGTAAATGTTCCATATGTAATTGACAACTGTGTATATTTTCCAATATTTGGGGTGCACCATACTACATATATCCATTAAGTCAAGTCTGATCATTCCTTTTTTAGAATAATATTCTTTTCTGTCCAGGAACTCTGATTACATTCTATTTTCACTTTCTTACAAGAAAAATCAAGTTCTCTATAATTCTGATCTCTCTTTCTGTGCTCCAAAGTCAGAAGTGTAAGTTTCTAATGAGTAAATGATTTTATAGCTAGTTAATGGTTGGCACATTATTTTAACTTCTCAGACTGGGTATCTTCATTTGTAAATGGGGATTATAGAATTTACACAGCATAAAAATATGATGTGTGTAAGAATGTTATTATTTTCATTATAATCAATATATAACCCGCACAGTACTAATATCTATTGTCATGATTCCACTCATCTCTGTCTTTTCAGGCTACCATTAATATACATTAAATACCACTGGTAGGTGAAATTCACTAAACCCTAATATCCATGTGCCTTCTGTCAAAGAGCTTCATACATTCATTGATGGAAAAAAGGAAGAGGTGCTATATCATTGAATAAATTACGACTTCAGATATTGTGGCCACATCTGAGCATCTTCAGACAATGACCCAATAAAGCAGTACCACAGGCACTAAGGTGGATGCCCACCAGAAGGAAAAAGAACTTCATTTTAAGACTCTGTGTGAACAGTAACCCTTGCTGATCATCTTCTGTGTGTAGATGCTGCATGAAGAGAGTTTAGCGAAGGCATCTCACTGAACCTCTCAAACACCCCTAACATAGACATTACTGTCCCTACTTCATAGATAGAGAAGTTGATGTTCAGGAGATTATGGAGATAGGGTGGAGATGTGCAAAGCCAGTATATGCACCAGCATGTGTATAGCAGCAGGTGTCAGGACCTAAATGTCCACCAAAGTCGCAACTCAATAAAAAAGAGACAAAGCCAGAGTCTTCTCTGCGTCTCACCTGGGACCTGTTTCTTTCTCTGCAGTGTTTCTCAGTCCCACTCTACTCTCCCGTATCTACCACACACATTAAGTTATTACCCAGAGGGACAGCTATTGCAGTATGGATCTTGGTCTGTGACATAGAGATAATGGGAGAGGGTCAGACAAGTGTTACCTGCACAGAATATTCCATTTTCTCCAGATATCACTATGGCTTTTACTGTATGGTCGGATATGGCCTTCTTTAGTCCCTCTTTTATTCCATTGAGTACAGTCAAACTAAAAGAAAAAAAATCACATGTAGCAAAAATTCATAATTAAAGTTCTACCATCTCAGAGTTTTTCCTTTCCTAATACTGAAACTTTAAACAAATGCACATTGTATAAAAACCATAGAAAGTTACCATTAAAGCTCACTAATTTGTTCATCATACAATATTGTCTATTGTGAATTAAGCAGTGAGCTAATTATATGAGTCCCCCTGAAAAGTAATATTATTTTCTTGTACTCTGCTCTAATGTTAACCACTTAGAATCAGCACTAACCAATTTTAAAATATTATTACACTTACTATAGAAAAGTGCAAACCTACAAACTGACAAACATACACAACGATCACGTAAGATGCAGTAAGGTAAGTGCTACACTAAAGATACAAAGAAAGTGATGAGGAAGTTCAGAGGGGAGCAAACGACTTTCAATTTATCATACTGACAGAAAGAGAAGAAAAGTAACAAGAGAAGTAGTCCAGTGCCGCAGCCCGGCTGGCTGGGCAAAATAACCGGGGGGGTGACGAACAACTTGTGTACGTTGATACAGCAGGAGAGGGAGCTGTTTATTGTAGGCCAGGAGCAGTATTTATACATTCCACACAGCTTATCTAATTAGCATAAACTAGATACATCAGTCAACCAATAAGGAATCTCCACACTTAATGGCTCGCTGGTGTTACTTCACAAACCACTCCCTCTGGCATTTTGCCAGGAGCCATCCTGACTTGTTTACAGACTCTAACAGTCCAGGAGATGTGGCAGGGGCTGCTGGTTACCTCAGATATCCATCCCTCCTTGCCTTCTTCAAATAATGAAAATGCCTACATTTTAGTTGAATACATTGTAGCCCCACAAAGACTACATTTTCCATCTTGCTTTAAAGTAAGTTTGACTCAAGGCCTTAAGTTCTCGTCAATGAACCATATTTATGCAATTTTTGTGAAGAGTCCCTAAAGGACTGAATATACTTTTCTCTTTTTTTTTTTTCCCTCTCTCTCTATACCTGACTGAAATGCAGATGTGATAGATAGATGGGGAGCATCCATATTGGACCAACAGGTAAAAGCCATATAATAAGACAACAGAGCAAAAGATAGATAGAATTGGGGTCATTAATGTTTGTGAAGCACCAATATCATTCCAGGACACCAGTGTGAGAGAAATTAATTTCTTCTTATTTAATTCATTTTTGAGTTTTCTGTTACTGATATTTAGTTTAATCCCAAATAATTAAGGAGGTAAAGGACAGAGAAAGAAAGGCCATGTACAACAATAGATTTTTTTCAGTTTTCAGTATCTGAGGGAGTCATCCACAGAAGAGACAGTTAAAGCCAAGACTGTAAGAGTCCAGAAAATAAAAAGAAATTTGACCATGGGCAGATTCTCTGGATTCATCCTTGTTCAAGGAGGAGGAGAGGTTCAGTACAGTAATCCTGCACCAAGGACACCAAGTCATAAAGACCAATGGCGGGTAGATTTTCCATGAACCAGGAGATTAACATGGAAAAGGAATAGTGACGAAAAACAGTGAGTACTGTGCAATGGTTATGTCTGAAATGTCCCCCCAAAGGCTCATGTATTGAAGGTTTGGTCCCCAACACAGCCATGTTCAGAGGTGGGGATTTGGGGAAGTGTTTGGATCATGCAAGCTCTAACCTCATTAATGGATGAATCTAGTAAGCAAACCATAATCAGTTCTGCCTTGAAATTCTCAGAATTGTGTACAGTTTTCTTATGTAGAAGGTGAAAACAACCTGAAATAAGAAAAAAGAAACGAGGAGGGGGGGAACCTCTATAAAAGCCCTATTGTTAAGATCAGCAATTATGAGTGAAAACCCATGTGGAATACAGTAGACACTTGCCCTTGTGTATGATAATTTATTTTACCTACTTGTTTTTCACCTCTTAACCTAGAGGAAATCAAACAAAACCTCTTGCTTTTAACTGGTTAATTAGATGTCAAATATGATCATAAAACCAGATTCTGGACAATTATATAATATTGAAAAGTCCATGGCCTATGTAGGCAGCCCTCTAATCTGTGGAAAGCTGGTTACAGGAACCACCCCTCTCCAACATGCCCAAATCACTGCTCAAGTCCCTTATGAAAAACAGTGTAGTATTACCTACCCACATACCATCTCTAGACAGCTTGTAATACTCAGTGAAAGGTAGATTCATGTAAACAGTTGTTAAATAGCATTGCTTAAGGAATTACAGGGGAAAAAAATGATGCTACATGTTCATTAGGGAACCAACCACCATAGTCCTAACCACATTTTCTATTCAAAGTTGGCAAAATGGCAGATGTGGAACCCAGGGATACAGAGGGCTGGCTGTATTTCCTTCTGGGTAAAGGATGGCTATAAAATGAGCCAAAATTAGTTCAGTCAGTGCCACTGAGGACAACAGTTTGCTTTTTCCTATTTCAAACAATCTTTCCAATTTATTTATATTCTTGTTAATTGTAAATACCTCAAAAGTAGGGAAAAAAAAGAAAAAGGAGCCAATTGTAACAGATAACTGCTTTACTAGATTCTGCAGACTGACAGGGACCACAGCCTCCCAGCAAGGGAAAGGCCGCAGGGTCTAAGGAGGTATTTTCCCCCTTAACACTGCCAGGTATTCCCCCATGGAGTGTGGGGGAAGATGCTGACTGCAAGGCTTCAGCTTCTGTGACCACAGCAGGCCTCTGCTTTGGGGCAACTGGGGTTTTATTTAGTTAATGAAAGTTCATCATCAAGTCTGTGGCTGTAACTAATGTTTTTTTCATATAAAGAAACAGAAAACAGAATGTGTCAAACTATTTAACAAGTTTTCATATTTTTCATTTATCCATATGTATATCTGTATCTTCAGTTGTTATATAAAACATACAGTTTCTTTCTCTTTGTTTTAGGTTTTCAATTATTTTTACTTATCATTTATTTAAAAAATTTTTATTTATTCTTATTAATTATACATGATAGTAGAATTATTCTGACATGTTATACATATATAGAGTATAACTTCTCATTCTTCCGGTTTACATGATGTAGAATGACATTGGTCATGTAATCATATATGCACAGGAGGATAATACTGTCCAATTTGTTCTATCTTTCCTATTCCCATTCCCTTTCCCTTCCCTTCATTCCCCTTTGTCTAATCCAAAGTACTTCTATTCTTCCCAACCTCCCCACCCCCGCATTGTGAATTAGCACCCACATATCAGAGAAAACATTTGGCCTTTGGTTCTTTGGGATTGGCTTATTTTGCTTAGCATAATATTCTCCAGTTCCATTCATTTACCGCCAAATGCCATAATTTTATTCTTCTTTATGGCTAAGTAATATTCTATTGTGTATATATGCCACATTTTTGTTATCTATTCATCTATTGAAGGGCACCTAGGTTGGCTCCATAGCTTAGTTATTGTGAATTAAGCTGCTATAAACATCCATGTGGCTGAGTTACTGTAGTATGCTGATGTTAAGTCCTTTGGATTTAAACAGGAGAGTGAGATAACTGAGACAAATGGTAGTTCCATTCTAAGTTTTCTGAGGAATCTCCATACTGTTTTCCAGAGTGGTTGCACCAATTTGCAGTCCCACCAACAATGTACGAGTGTACCTTTTTCCCCACCTCCTTGCCAACATTTATTGTTGCTTGTATTCTTGATAATTGCTGTTTTGACTAGAGTGAGATGAAATCTCAATGTAGTTTTGATTTGCATTTCTCTAATTGCTAGAGATGGTGAACATTTTTTCATATATTTGTTGACTGATCATATTTTCTCTTCTAAAACATACAGTTTCTTACATATGCACACAGTAAAAAAAAAAAAAAAAGGTGTGAAAGCCCTTATTGTGGAGAGAGGCCTAGTCATGAGTTATGTCCTACATTTATAAGGAAGGTTGATGTTTTTCTGAATGGAAGGACACATGGCTGGCTAAACTAGCAGTGAAGTATTTAAACTATTTTCTTGGGGGGAAAAATAAATTTTTCAAATGAGAATTTCTTGAGCTAAACATGTAGCTCAGTGGTAGAGTTCTTGCTTAGTATGCATGAGACCTCATATTCAATCCCCAGCACCCCAAAATTAAATAACAAATAAGAAGCTCTCAGTGAGCTAAGATAACAGAACTTCCTCCATAAAATGAGAAATAGAAAGAGGAAAAGGAAGGAAGGGAGGGGAAAAAACTGTTATAAAGCCAAAACAAAACAAAACAAAAAACATGAAATCTCTTAAACAACAAATCTCTCTAAAGGACATATGGTTAAGGCAGGCAACAATGAGTCAAAAATTACTAGGATTGTCCTTTCACCTAGTGGCTTTTCACCTCCTAGGAAATCAAACAAGACCTCTTGCTTTCAGCTGGTTAATTAGAAATCAAATCTAATCATATAAACAGTTTCTGCACCATTAACATAATACAGAGAAGTCCAAAAGGCGTATGTAGCCATCTCTCAGTATCTTTGGGAAACTGGATCCAAGACCACTCCACCCTCGGGAAACCCAAATCCTCATATTCTCGGGTACTTTATGAAAAATAGTGTAGTATATGCATATAAACTACCTGCATCATTTCTAGATTACTTTTAATAGCCAATAAAACATAATTGCTATGTAAACAGTTGTTATATCATGTTGATTTGAGAATGGTGACAGGTAAAAATATTCTAAACGTTTACTAGAGATCCAATCATCCTGGACCTCTAACCACCTGTTTTATCCAGGGTTGGCTCAATGGCAGATGTGGAATCCAGGAATACAGAGTATTTCCTTCTGAGTAAGGGAGGGCTACCAAATGAGCCAAAATTAGCTCAGTCAGTGCCACTGTGGACAAGTGTCTGGTTTTTCCCATTTCAAACAACCTCTCCTTGTTTTATTTATTTGTTAATAGTGACAAACTCAGAAGTAGGAAAAAAAAAAGAAAAACATGAGGTACAAAAATCTTAAAGAACAAATCTCTCTAAAGACCATATGGATGAAACAGATATGGCAAGGTAAAGGCCTCAGGGACTAAAGAAGTAAACAGAAAGCAAGAGTTTCTGCACCAAGGAATGTGCCAAGCAAGGAAGGGCGGCTTTGGTTTTAGGAAACTTGTTTCTGGGTGTACATTTGTATGTGTTTTTTTAGTTGCTATGTAAAATATAAGGTTTCTTACTATGTGGATTAGTTTTCTTAAATGTGTAAAGTCATTGCTCCAGGAAACAGGCCTAGTTGAGAGTCATGTCCTACATGTATTAAGAGGGTGTTGTTCATCTGAATAGAAGGGAAACATGGCTGGCTAAAGTAGTGCTAAGAGCCACAGCCAAGTAATATGATGCATGGCATTTTTGGTTGAAAGGTGACGCCAGCAAGCCATTGAGATGATATGATTATGTTAAGATCTGCATTCATATGGATATTGGACTCCTGCTGTCCACCTCGGCCTGCTACGGGACTCCTGGAGAGTTCCCATTGGTTGGGGAAGTATGGTAGGAGGGAATTCCGGAGGAGGGACTTCCTGTTGGGGTCCGGGAGAACACCATGTGGGTCGATCGTCGATCTTCCCGGGAGCATACGGGCATTGGCGGCAGTTTCAAAAATAAAGTTTGTTCCTGCTTGAGTGGCTTGTGATTTTGTGCCCAGCCAGACTGCGGCAAAGTAGCAATGAAGGATTTAAATGATTTGGGGAAAAAAAAAAATATTAAAATAAGAATCTCTCACTTACTGAGCTAGGATGTGGTAACTTCCCAAATATGATAATAGGAAGGGTAAATAAGGAAGGAAGGAATGAAAGAAAAGTATAAAGAAAAAAAAAAATCAAGACACTGTTAGACCTGCTGAACAACCTGGGATCTAAAATTTCTGTGCTTTAGTATATGGGTAAAAACAATTTAAAACCAACAGCAGCAAACATCTGTGTAAGCGCTATTGTTAAGATACAGGAGACACCTGCCCTCCTGTATGATAATTACCTTTTACCTAGTTACTTTTCACCTCTTAGCCTAGAGGAAAACAAACACTAATCTGTTGCTTTTGCCTGGTTAATTAGAAACCAAATCTCATCCTGAGCAACAGATTTGGGGCCATTACATAATAGTGAGCAGAACAAAGCCACATGCATCTGTCTGTCCCTCAGTGTCTGTGGAGAATTGGTCCAGCAACCCCCACTGCCCCCTTAACATATCAAACTCCTCATATATGCTCAAGTCCCTTATATAAAATAGCAGAGTATCTGTATATAACCTAGGCTACATCACCATCTCTAGATTACTTATATGACCCCATAAAACAGAAATGTTATGTAAATAGTTGTTATAATTCATTGTTTAGGAAATGAATAATCTCTCTCGTTCTCTTTTTCATACACACACTCTATGTAGTCACTGGAGACCCAACCATCATGGAACTGAGTATATTTTCTTTTTTTAATATTTATTTTTTAGTTGTAGTTGATTGGACACAATACCTTTATTTTTTTATGTGATGCTGAGGATCGAAGCCAGGGCCTCGCACGTGCTAGGCGAGCTCTCTACCACTGAGCCACAACCCTAGCCCCCTGAGTACATTTCCAATCTATGGTTAGCTGAATGGCAGATGTGGAACCCAGGGATACAGAGGGTTAACAGTATTTCCTTTGGGGCAAAGGAAGGCTACAAAATGAGCCCAAATTAGCTTAGTCAGTGCCACCTGAGGAGAAGAGACACCCTTTTCCCCATTCAACCAACCTCTCCTGTTTCATTACGCTCTTATTAATCAGGAAAAATTCAAAACCAGAAAAAAAGGAAAACAGCTACCTCTTTGTCAGCTTTACTAGATTCTGCTTACAGGAACCACAGCCTCCCAGCCAGATTAGGGGAAAACACTTCGTGGTGGCCTTTACCACTGCCAGGTGTAGAGGATGAAATCGGGGATGATGACATTCATGAGTATCTAGCACAAGGCTTCAGTTTGTCATCATAGCAGGTCTTTGCTTTTTGTCAGTTTTATTTTTAATCAAAATTCATCAAATCAAGTTTGTGGCTTGTCCTCAGCATTTTTTTCCAAAGAAATAAAAAGTAGAAGAAAAAATATATGATCCCAAACTCTGGAAAATGTTAAGAATAGGTTTGGGTTCAGGAAATTTTATTTTCAGTCATTCATGTGTATGTATCTTATTTTTTGTGTTTTTGTGTTTTGGCACCAGGATTGAACCCAAGGTTGCTTAACCACGGAGCCACATCCCCAGTCCTTTTTTCCACTTATTTATTTTCATTGTAGATGGACACAACATGTTTATTTTATTTTTGTTTATTTATTTATTCATTTATTTATTATGTAGTGCTAGGCAAGCATTCTACCACTGAGCTACAACCCAGCCCCTCCACCAGCCCTTTTTTATATTTAATTTAGAGACAGGGTCTCACTGAGTTGCTGAGGGCCTTGCTAAGTTGTTGAGGCTGGCTTTGAATTCACTATCCTCCTGTCTCAGCCTCCCGAGCTGCTGGGATTATAAGTATCTTGAGCTGTTCTGTACATGAGGTTCTTACTATACGGGTGGCAATAAAATGACAATAACAAAAATGTATGAAAGCCATTCTGGAGGACAAGCCTAGTATTCAGGAATGTCCTGCACTGATGAAGAGGATTGACACTCATGAGAATGGAATGAAACATGGCTGGCTAAAGTAGCAAGGCAGGATTTAAACTGACATAAAAGAAAAAGAATTATTCCAATAAGGATCTCTCAGTGAGCTTGAAAGAGAAAACTTCCTACATGAAATGAGAAATGGGAATGGGAAAGGAAGTAAAGGTATAAAGTTTAAAACAAACAGAACTGTTAAAGTTGGTGAACATAGGCATGTATAGCCTAACTAAAATAAAAGAGAAAGACAAATGTAAAGAAAGGGCAGAGAAGGATTTAGTCCCAAGTGGAGTTAATCTTGATAAAGCAGAAGTGAATCCTAAGCATCAGGCCTGCTGATAAGGGCTTGCAACAGGCCTTCTCACTATCAGGAATTAAATCAGTTAACATGTGTTAAGTGCCAGTTTAAAACCTACATCTCATTTAATCCTCACAATGTTGATTGATTGGTTGATTGATCCTGGGGATTGAACCCAGGTGTGCTCTACCACTGAGCTGAATCCCCACCATTTTTTTATTTTGAGACAGGGTCTCACTAAGCTGCCCAAGCTGGCCTCAAACTTTAGATCCTAGAATTATAGATGTGCACACTACTCCTGGCTCCATACAACATTATGAATTAAGTACATTATTCCTGTATTGGGGGTGAGGCTAGCAGGCTAAATACCAAAATACATCAAGCAATTTCCAGAAAATATTATACTTGGAGGTATTAGACTATGAAACCTTTTTTCCTAAGTTCTGGATGGGAATAGTTGCCCAATATGAGCAGAAGCTCCAGTAGCAGCAGAATCTCAATATCTAATAATCCAATCAGTATACAGTCCAAAGGGATATGGAATCATATTACTTACATGTTTCTTTGTCAAAACAAATACAATGGGTATTTTGCATTTTTTTTTCTGGGAATGGCAAGCAGACATTTTTGTGATTTAATATCTCTTTTTTTGTATTATTAAATCCTATTATTCACATTATAATAAGTGCAATATTAAAACTAAGGCTAAGAATCAAATACAGTGACAGTAGGATAAAAAAGAAAAAAAACTCAGTTAAAATTAACAGCCGTCTTTCCATCTCTATTTGCTCCAGCAGTGTGTGATGAGAATTTTCACTCAAGACCTATCTATGCTTTATATATTCTCTGTAAGTTATAATTTCTGCTTATCTGATTCTGAGGATGGGTGGCTCTTTCCAGCCTAAATGTTGAATTATATCATAGATATGAATGAAGTTCACTTGGTGTAGTTCTTCCATTTTCATAAAGGCAGCGCTGATTTCACTTCTCAAACTAATACCCCAGGGGACTGGGGATAAGACTCGGTTGGTAGAGTGCTTGCCTCTATTCACAAGGCCCTGGGTTCAAACCCCAGCACCACCAAAAACAAAAAATAAAAGTAATGCTCAAAGTGCATTTGGCTTTCTCAGAAAGAACCTCAGGATAAAATAAAAGATTAGCTTTCTCAGTTTTTCAAAACATGCTACTTGGGCCTTACTGTGACATCAACACTCCATGGAAGCTCTCCAGCCCTGAGGTTTAAAACAGATCAGGAGAAATAATTTAGGCTTTCTGGGCCAGAGACAAATCCCTTTTACTCACCGTGTTGGCATTCACTGGGACCTGCTTTATTTTATTTATCTTTTAATTTTTTAGTGTTGCTGGGGATGAAACGAGGGTCTCACGCATGCTAGGCAAGGCTGTACCACGGAACAACGCCCTCGGCCCCTTACTCTCTCTTTCAGAAATGGACAGCCACTTTCTGTAGGACACCTGCAGCTTTTACCACTCCTTGTAAGGGCAGCCAGCCTGCGCTCCCAACAGGGGGAGTGCAGCTGGATCAAGGTCCTGCTCTGCACTAACTCAAGTCCTTTGGAACTGAAAGTTTGAGAAGAAGCCGCAAGCAAGCAGCAGGGTTCAGCCCGCAGTGGGCAAGGACAGATTCAGCCCACGCCCAGCTCCACCGCTCAGTAACCTCACTCAGCCTCAGTTTCCTGACCAGTCAAGAGGGGTCGAGAGTTTTCATGAAGATTAACCCAGCTAATCTGGACGAAAAGACTCTGGCATATACTCTGGCTCCAGATGTCAGTGTCCTTCTCAGTTTCAACCAACAGGGAGAGTCAAAGGTTGCAGAGCCCAAAGATCAGCAATGCCCTGCTGTCCCGGCGCTGCTTGCAGAGCGGACGAAGCCTGTTACCTGATCGCGTTGACCGGCGGGTTTCGGAGGCGGATCAGAGCCAGGGAGTGAGGCAGCCGCAAGTACTCAGCCATTTTCCTCTGTCGCCAAAGTTGCCTGTAGTTCCGGCCACTGAACACAGCCGCTTTTCCCTGCGCGCTGGGCCAGCCTTAAGAGGAGGGTCGCGTGCGCTGGGCCAATGCGAGCCTGGCGCCGCCTCCCGCTGCCAGACCGCTGTCTGTGGCACGCGACCCACCTCCCTTCTGGGCTCCTTCTGCTCAGGACCCGCCCCCATGCTCAGGCGATGTTGGCAGCCTAGTCCTTTTCATTGCCTCCTATCCTGTTCTCACCCCAGAGCTGTGCACAGATGACCAATGTAGCTAGTGGAATTGCCTTTTTGCTTTGCAACTTCCTGGCCCAGAAGCGTTAGCTTCTTAGTCAGGTTCTAGGTTATTGGAGTCAGGCAAGCTGTTCGCATCCCTGTATTCATTGACCTCATGATCTTTAGGTACAGAAGCAAGTACCTGGCGCCTTGACAATTATGTGAAATGATACACGCCTGGAATAGAAGTACTACATATATCATTCATGCCACTCAAATGAGGATGGTACTAATGTCAACCAATTATTTACAAAAGTCATCTCTAACTTACAGAGCAATCCTGCAACTCTAAGAGTTCCTCGCCTGCCCAATCCTTCGTTTTCTGCTGCTTTTCGAAGGGCTGGGGTTTCTAATACTTCATCTGTTCGTCTGGGAACTGAGCACCTCTCACTCATGTTCTGGACCTAGGTTTAAGACTAAAGATAACAATACCCACCCCTTCCCTCCAAAAGTCCCAGGTGGAACAAGGTTCTTCTAAATGTGCTTTCCTCTCCTGATCACCATAATCCATCAAGTAGTCAGGAGGCAGTCTGGAAGTTTCAAGGAAAAAAATATATGTGAAAATTTTCTTCACTTGATGTTTTACAAATTTTAACAACGACTAAGGATTATTTTTATTCATATTCTTTTATAGCTGAAAATAAAAGCAGTTTCCCACAACTAGAGAATTACTGACTTCCCTAAAGTCCTGGTCACAAATAGCAGTCACAACCCATTCAGCCCAGCAAGGACAACTATCTCGACCATCAAAGCCAACATACAAAATCACTAAAAGCACAGTGCATGTGCCTCTGAATGCAAACAACCAACCACAGCTTCTTGGGAAACAATCAGCTTTTACAGTTGATATCAATCTTGATCTAATGCCTCTGAAAATGACTAATCCCTAATTCTACCTTGCCAAAAACAAAACAAAACAAGATCAAAGGTCTGTTCTGCTTGCAAAAACACTGCATGACCAGCCTAGTTCTCCCTGAAGTATGAAGCAATAAATTGAGCTTTGTCTTCATGGAGCCGCCAGTCTGTAGGGGGAACAATTCTGCCATGGCATCTTACCAACTGAAACATCTCCATAAGGGCCAAATAGGCAAAGCTTAACAGCTCTGACTGGCCTGAAATTCCTCTGCAGCAGGAGGAGAGAATCAGCATGGTGTGGAGCCATCTTGAGGCAATTACTCATCTCTGCCTTGTAGGAGTCAATGATGGGCCATTCCTCCTCTATCTCTCTTGGTTCATTTGAAGGCAGACCTTTTTGTCTTGCACCCCCATGTTAGCATACATCTGCAAACTTCCATGCAAATCCATAAAACTGCCCATGGTTGTTTTGAGTTGCCTCCTTAACAGGCAGGGGCTTGGGTGAGACCAAGGAGACCCCTGAGGGACAACGTGTAAAGGGGACACTTGCTCTAAGTTGTCTCAGTGCTGATCTTGTCCTGATCCTCAACAACAAAGCAACTCATCCACCACTCTATTTGCTGCCACACTGTGGAAATGGATATACAGGGAGCTGAGACCATGATGATGATAATATTTGTCTGCCTGTGTAAGTAATGAAGTGTCTCTCTCTCTCTATCTGTGGGTTCCTTACTTGCAGTGTCCAAGGAAGTGTGACAAGCTAATTCAGTAGGAGCCCCATGCTGTTGTTTTTTTAGACTGCCTGACCATTCAAAGGTCTCTTGATTGTTGGCATGAACTGTTATATTCTTAAATTTCTTCTCATTTAATTTGTATCAATGAACACTTCTCAACGTCATTGTCATTCCTTCTGACTAAGCACCTGCATGCCATGTTATGTTGCTGCTTTTGCTTGTTAAGCACGTTGTTTTCACGGTTGTCATTCAGTGTTTCATGAAAGCTTGAGACAAAGATAAAAGAATGTAAAACTATAACTAAGCACAAAGTCCAAAGGGTAAATTGTGAACTGGATTCCAATGCAAATACAGAACCTCTGCAAGTTAGAATGTGCAAATCTGTACTAGTAGTAAGAACAGAAATGTCTGTGTAAAGCTGCATTGGTGATCTGTTAGTCCTGGAACTCAGAGTGTTGTGTGTGAAACTTCATTCAATTGTGACCTGAAGTCCTTGAAGCTGACTTCTCTAGTAAGCCACTCAGGTTTTTGTTTTGTTTTGTTTTTGTTTTTTTGAAACAAAGTAATGCTTTCTTGCTATGGTGATAAAATCTCTCACACACTGTCTCCCATGATCTTTCCTATTTCACTATGGGATAGAGAGAGACACTAGGCCCAGGGGAGGGCAGCCACAGATAAAAGAAGCCCAATTGGTTTGTGAAAGAGGGATATCCATTAATTGGAACTAGTATAGACTGTTACAGAAGCAAGACATAAATTTGCATCTGTGTGTAAAAGATGTTTACTCTGTACTAACTACAACAATGAAGAAAAAGGCCATGCATACAATTTTCCACAGTGAAGCTGGCTGACATTTGAACAGAAAAAGTTTTCAGAGAAGTGTTTGAAATGAGAGATGGGGTTAAAAAAGAAATTCTTCTCTATACCAATAATATCAGAAATGTCTATTTATTATAATTTTCAGTGACTTGTTCAAATGTCAAGTGTTGAACCTTGTGGGAGAAGAGGGTGAGTTTGTGTGTTCCGTGTTCAATGATAAAGATATGCTACCAGGATACCCAAAGACCAACTGTGGCAAAAATGACTCAGTAACATGTTGATTACCTTCACCAGCTGAAATGCATCAACAATGTTTTACTAAGCATGTTTTCAAGGATCATACCCATGTGCTACACATCAGAGCTAAACACAGCCAAAAATTGAGATGAGAATGCATTGAGATTTGCTATTGAGTGAGCTTTTCTTGTCACCTCAAGTTTGTAGGTAGTTGTCCTTGATGTTATCTCTCTGAGATTCTGAACTAAAAGTCATGCAAGAACAAGAAACTTCTTCATTGAACAAGCAACTTTCCTGGCATCTTGGCGTTCTCATGATTCCAATTTCATTTTGTTTAGAAAATGCCATTAAGTTGTTAGTCACAGTGACACACACCCATGTTCCTGTGACTTGGGAGGCAGGATTGCAAGTTGGAGTCCCTGTTTCAAAATAAAAGTAGCTCAATGGCATAACACCCCTGAGTTCAATCCCCAGTACTGGAAAGGAAGGAAGGGTGCCACATTAGGCTCTCTCTACCAATGTTCCACCATGTATTTTACTAGAAATAATATTTCATTTTAATGATAATCCCTTTCATCTTTTCCAAAAATTGACACTATTTGGAAAGACATTATAGATAGACATAAGTTTGAGAGATACCCAGGTAATTTATCCTAACATACATCCTTCCTTTCTTCCTTCCTTCCTGTCTTGTTTGTACCAGGGATTGAACCCAGAGTGTTTAACCACTGAGCCACATCCCAGTTCAGTTTTTATATTTTATTTAGTGACAGGGCCTCACTAAGTTGCCAAGTCTGGCTTTGAATTTGTAATCTTCCTGCCTCAGGCTGCCAAGCTGCTGGGATTATGGGCATTATGGGCACCAAACCCAATTAGCTGGTATGCCTTCTAAAATAAGAAGTCCTCAACAACATTTCTAGACCAAGATTGTTTGCCCACCCCTCTATGAGTGATTTTAGTGATGAAGACCCCAAAACTCTACATAGTAGTTATTTCTGCTCAATAAAATAAATGGTCTTGAGACTGGAAGTGTAGATCAACACCTATTTAGCAAGTACAAGTCCCTGACTTCAATCCTCAGCAGAGGGGGGAAAAAGTTCTGTCCCCCAGAATGTTCCACTCACCAATTCTACTTATATGTCAGAAATTATATACTAACTCTTCTTTTATTAGAATGGTCTTTCGTCAAATATTTAAGGATGCTACCAAGTCCATCCTAAGCGGCCCTTTTAAGGCTCTTTCTCATGTACTAATATATCACATATGATTCTCTACAGCACAATGACCATAGTTAATAATAATATATTCTTGAAATCTGCTAAGAGTGGAGATCTTACTATCCCATGCATACACACAAAAAGTAACAATGTGAGGTGATGGATGTGTTAACATCTTGCTTGGGAGAAGTATTTCTCGATGTGTGTGTATATCAAAACATCACATTGTACACCTTGAATATGTACAATTTTTATCAATTATACTCAAGAAACCTGAACAAAGTTAATGATCAAGAGACTGCCCATTTTTGTACATTACAACTTTGAAGTACAATAAAATGAAAACTCAAAGGGAAAGAGTGGGTGACAGAGGGTAGAGACCAAAAGCGGAACATGGATTTAGAGAGGCTGCTTTTCCTAAAAGCAGAGATTCTTTTTTTTTAGGTCTGCCAATAGCTCCTGGGTAATCAAAAGCAGAATAAAGCCTGGCATCCCTGTCTTTATTTTATGTCTGTCTAATTTATTATTTTAAACTCTGACATGCTCAGCTCTTCATGGAGCCATGTTAACAATTTAAGGTATATTTATCTGAAAATTAGCAATGTAAGGTTTGTTAGCCCTAATTTTATCCAACTTGTCTCATCCCCTTTTAAGACTGATAAAAGATGTGCAGGGGCATTCTACTATCAGCCTTTACAGCATCAGATCCCTGAAGCAGTGCCTAGAAGTCTTTTTTTTTGGGTCAGGAAATTTTATTTGAACATTCTAAAGCAGTAATGCTTTAGATGTTACTTAAGTGTCCCAGACAGGATTAACAAAATTAAATGTTTCTAAATTACAAATTTAGTTCCTGTAGGAGTCTCAGAAAAGAAACAGAAGAAAACAACCCCCCTCCCAAAAGAAGTATGACACACACATTTTGAAGAAACCCCAATGTTTCATGCAATGGTAGGCAAGATGTAAAAAGCCAACCAAATTCACACATTTCTACACCAATCATCATCAGAAAAAAGTACTCCATAGTCCATCTGTACATCCAAACGCATCTGGGAATCTACACCTACATTACATTATTTAATGTTATGTACATTTATTACCTACCCCCTTGCTTTTAATAATTTCTTATGTAAAGCCTTCATTCAAACTCAAAAAAAAGATTTTAAGACTAACCTTGGGGGAAAAAGATAATCACTTTAGACAGTCAGTTAAAATGTAGTTTATCTAAATCTCAAAATGTTTAATAAAAACAACATCTTCTCCATTTAACACTTGGCTTTCTAACTGTACAGTAAATTGCATTGAAGAGAGTACACCTCTATCTTCAGACTGTATCTTCTTTGGATGGAATTAAGATATAACTGGATAATTTTAAGACAAATAAATGGGAAGCTGGTCCAACTAAGATGACAGCAGATATATTACATGCAGAATTTAATATTTTTTAATTCTCTTTTTTTTTTTTAAAAAAAAGGATGCAGTTGAACTGGAGGAGAAAAAAACCTATAACAGGTCAAAAAAGAACCCAGATTCAATATATAAAAATGTCCCAAAATAGGTTGACGATGGCAGTAAAAATAAGAGAAAAAAAGTAATCTTTCTGGAACATCATTTTTCAATAATGTAGAAACACTAAGTGCCAGGAAGATTTCTACTCATGTAATTTTAGCATCCAAGTTTCCCTCTACTTATTTTATTGGAACAAATGCTTTAAATAGACTATTTGTCCTCTTCACTGAAGAGAGCTGGTCTATTTCATCTTTAATGAGCTAGTTTTGGGGAATATTAGCCATGTACTGTAGTAATGCCTACTGCATAAAATCCAAGGATCAATTTCTCTTTCATAGGGGTGGAACTTGCACAGCAAAAAAGCACAAGAAGAGATTTGGGCTTAACACTGGGTACTTTGTGGGTCTCTTTCGTGGATGGCTTAAAGTAACATCTATTTCCATTGATCCTAGGTTCATACTGACTGCTTTCTCCTAGAAGTCTTCAGTCATTGTCTGACTCCTTCCAGGAACAGCAGAAGGCAGGCACAGCACCCCGTGATGACAGCACCCCTAAATAGGAGCAATCATCTCATGGCAACTGATCCCCATCTAGGATCACAGGTCTGATAGATAAAACATCCTGAGCAACAAGTGGAGATCACCCCTCAAGGGATAAAGATTTTTCTGGAGTTATCTTGAAGAACCAGAACTGAAGTAATAGGCAAACAAGACCATCATTTGACCAAGACTGCTTAATTATTTATGCACATCTCTTGCCTCCTGTCCCAGTTCTTCCTCTACTTAAACCTAGGCTCATGTCAACAGTTTGAAGACAGGGCTGAGATGCTAGATCTCACTTTCCCTTCCCCAAAATGAATCTATTGATTAAAGTTTCCTTCTCTGTTTTTCACCATTACCTTCTCTGCTTGGTTTTTGGAGTGATGGCTGGACTCCATTTGTTGGGACTCCCAGAGTCAGGCCTCCAGTAGTAAAAGATGAGTACTAACACATTGACCTTTGATCAAATCTAAATAGATAACTAATGGGCAGATCATTTGTTTTATTTTATAACAAAAATTGGATTATTTTTCCCCCCCCCAGAAGCCATCTATGAGCCGGGTGTGAACTGAGCCAGCCATAGGCAGGGAAGCCCAGTTTGGGGAACTCCCAGGCAGAACCCCTGATGTGAGAATGCCCATTTCACCTTGACACCCTGTTCTAGCTCCCACTCAAGTTCAAGCACAGCCTCCCAGAGATGGGTGTAGCCTGCCAAATGCCAATCAAGCTGTTTAGCACAAGACCACCACCACACCAAGAAGCAAGCACCCCAAACAAGACTCCTTCCACTGAAACCTTATCCCTGCCTTTGATGTGCTCCCCCTTAAATAAAGAATTGGGTCTTTTTCAATTGTTCAGTTCCAGTTCCTACCAGGACTGGAAGACCCATCAGGTATTCCGCTTTTAAATCTAATATTTGGCTTTGTCTTATTTCTTACGGATTTAATTTCAGACTTTTTCCCAGGCAGCTCATACCTCCTGAGCAGGAACTACTCTGTCAGGGTGCTGGTCACCCCATCATAATTTTTATCTAGCAATTCTTTTTCCTGCATATGACCTGATTGCTGAAGTGAAAGTACTCCAGAAACCTGTCTTTTTTCAGGATTTATGTGTGCTGCCATGATCTCAATTCTCAGCCCTGGTCAATAGTTCATCCAGTTCCTATCTCATGGATCCCCAGACTTTAACTTCCTATCTCTCATTTCCCTTTGGCACCCAGAGATTGGCCTTTTCTGCCTTCAAAAGTGCTACATGTGAGGGCTGGAGTTGTGGCTTAGTGATAGAAGATTCACATAGCACATGTGAAGCACTGGGTTCAATTCTCAGCACCACATAAAAAACAAATAAATAAAATGATATTGTGTCCATATATAACTTAAAAAAAAAGTTCTACACATGAAAAGTAATTCTAGTTGAATTGAACCCAAGGGTGTTTTACCACTGTGCTACATCCACCAAAATTTAGCTGGGTTTGCAGGAGGAGGAAGATATTACTTTATCTTATGGAAAAATTCCTTATTCACCTGGAAATTCCTTATTCTCATAAATTACTCTTTAAAATGTTATTTTAAGCATACATTCTTCACAAATTTTCTTTGAAAATAAAAGTATTAATTACTTTCCAAATAGACTTATTCTTCCTACCATCAAAGTTTGTTGATCCTAATGATTAACTGAAGATAAACAGATTCTGAGTTCTCATTACTGATTTATTACCATTTTATAGAGCTTCACATTACTTGTCAAATGTCACATCTAAACATAGTATACCACATCTCATTGCATATGCAAACATGAAAAGGAACTAAAAAGGCATTTGTAAGTGTTTATAAAGTTTTGAGTTAGACTTTCAGCTGTACTAATTCTAAATTTGTCAGAAAAGCACACCACTAATCTATTTTCAGTGTAGGGTCTGCTGGGGTTATCTGTGTATTGAGAATTTTGATTGCTTTTAGAAAAATGAAGATAAGCTTTATAAAATGTCTTACGAAGATCCTTTATTAGTTATGTAATAATACTAATATGTATTATTTGGGTCATGTAAGTGATTCCAAATGGCTACAGGATAATTTAGCAAATATAAATACATTTTTGCCTAATGGTCAATACATATAAGTTTGTGAGGTTCTGTAACTCCTAGTAAGAAACAACTTTTGAAAATTATTGATTTATACACTAATAAATACATACTATATACCATACATTGTACTACTGAATATTACCATTCAAGGAAAACAAGATGGGTAAGTTCCTTTTATCTGTAAAACCTTGTCATTCTAGAAAGGTAGATATATAGTAAACATGCAGACATAAAAGCAGATAAACAATACCAGACTGTGGTTATGGTTAGGAGGAAAGATTCTATTACAAAGAATAGGTTGGACCTACTCTAGAGAGGGTGGTCAGGAAAGGCACCTGTGAACAGGTCATATTGTGGCTAAGTGCGGATTTGAAGGATAAGAAGGAGGTTTATTAGAAGCTTACAGCATGAGAGCCCAGAAGGCGTTCAATGATAGGATGCTCTGGGGTATGAGAATGTCATGGCAGAAACACCAGCAAGAACAAGACTCTTTTGCAAGAAAGAATTTTTCAAGTTCTACAAGCTGAATTAAGGCTATTATTAGGGTAGATTAGTGCAGAGGAGGGAGTGTGAAATAAGATCCTAGAGGTTGGGGGAGAAGGCCAGGTCATGCAGGACATTCAAAGAAAGCCATGTTAAATGTATTAAAAAGCAGTATGCTATCTACAAGAAATCCTCTTTAAACACAAAGATATAAATTGCTTAAAAATAAAAGTATAAAGGAGATATACTTCAAAAGAAAACTGCAGTCATTATAATTGTATCAAAGTAGATTTCAGAATAAGAACTGTTCCCAAGGATAAGTAGGAATATTACCTAACAAGAAGAGGGTTTGTTGACCAGAAAATAAACAATCTTAAATACTAAAAACATAAACACAGAGCTTCAAAATATACAACAGAAAGTCAAATCTCCCTAAATTGATATACAGATTCAGTGCCAATCCAATTTAAATCCTGTATTTGTTTTGTCTTACAAATCCAAAAGTTGACTCTAAAATATACATGGAAAGGCAAAGAAACTATAATAGTTAAAACAACTTTGGAAAAGAATAGTAAAGTTTGAGGGCTCATACTGACTAATTTCAAGACTGCTAATAAGGCTCTAAATTAAGTGTGGGACTGGTGAAAGGGTAAACATACAGATCAATGCAGCATAATAAAGGACCTCTGCACATTTATAGTCAATAACTTTTAAATAAGAGCCAAGGGAGGGGCTGGGTTTTGTGGCTCAGCGGTAGAGCCCCTGCCTAGCACGTGTGGGACACTGGGTTTGATCCTTAGCACCATATAAGGATAAATAAATAAAATAAAGATATTGTGTCCCAACTACAACTAAAAAAAATATTTTAAAAAAAGAGCCAATGTAATTCCATAGAGCAAGTCTTTTAAACCAAGGGTGCTCTCACAATTGAATATCCATATGCAACAAAAGAAATTCCAACTAATATCTAACTGTATACAAAAGTAACTAAATTCAACAGGCTGACTGTAGCTCCTAAATATTTTGTATTTTGCAAAATATTATCTCAAAATGCAAGAGTTACATAATTAAATGTGAAACATAAAATTTCTAGAACACAAAGGAAGAAATCTTAGTGACTGTGGATCAAAGAATTCTTAAACAGAACACAGATAGCACAAATCAAAATAGGAAAAAAATGTTTAATTGGGCCTCATTGACATTGAAACACATCTCTGGATATATTTAGAAAAAAAAAAAAAGAATCCTGTCACAAACACATGTCTCTAAGAACTAATATCCAGAATTTACAAAGAACTCTCTCTACCATATAGTTTACAAAACAAACAAATTAAGCCAGGTGTGATGGTGCATGCCTGTAATCCCAGTAGCAAGGGAGGCTGAGGCAGGAGGATCATGAGTTCAAAGTCAGCCTCAGCAAGTTATCGAGGCCCTAAGCAATTCAGTGAGAGCCCATTTCTAATAAAATATGAAAAAGGGCCGAGGATGTGGCTCAATGGATAAGTGCCCCTGAATTCAGACCCCAGTACAAAAAAAATAAACAAATAAGCGAGTCTATAATTTGAACAGATATTCCACCCAAAATTATACAAATGACAAGTAAGCACATGAAACCAACATCATTAGTTATCAAAGAAATCACATTAAAACTACAATGAGATACCACTACACATACATATTTAAATAGATAATATAGGAGGGAACAAAACTGACACTAGGGGGGCTGGAGTTGTGGCTCAGTGGCAAAGCACTTGCCTACCATGTGTAAGGCACTTGGTTCGATCCTCAGCACCACATAAAGATGAATAAATAAATAAAGATATTGTGTCTAGTTACAACCAAAAAATAAATGTATATAAAAAAAAACTGACAAGAATGTGGAGCAACAGTCATTCATTCCTTTTCTGATAAGAATGCAAAATAGCACAGCTGCTTTGGAAAGCAGTTTGGCGGTCTCTTAAAAATAAAATACACATTAATATGAACCAGCAATCTCATTAGGAGGTATTTCCCCAAAAGAAATGAAGACATATGTCTCCACAAAAACATGCATGCAAATGTTTATAACTGTTTTACTCTTAATTGGCAAAAACTAGAAACAACACAAAGTCCAACAACAGTGACTGGATAAATAAACTGCAATGCGTTCACACATTGACATAGTAAACCACAAAAGAAAGGAATGACCAGTGATACACTCAACTGTAGGGATGAATCCAAGGGTACCCACAGTGAGTAGATGAAGCTACATCTGCCATGATTCCATTTATATAACATTCTGAAATACTACAAGAAGTATAAAAAAGGGTTGCATATTGCATGATTCTACTAGAAAACATTCTGGAAAGGACAAAACTACAGAGCACAAAAACAGATCAGTAGTTGCCAAAGCTAAGGAGGTTGTCCATGGGACATCAATATAAGGCCCAATCCACCAATGTTCTATACCATTTTCCTGTCTTCTTAGGCAAATATTGCCAAAATCCTGTCAGATCTGATTAACCTTGAAGGATAGTAAGTCTAGAAAAAACAAAACGTTCTCTCTTTTATGAAACAGTGATGATTTTTTTAAGTGTTTTGTTTCTTTTTTTTAATATTTAATTTATTTATTTTTATGTGGTGCTGAGGATCAAACAAACCCAGGGCCTCGCACGTGCTAAGGGAGCGCTCTACCGCTGAGCCACAACCCCAGCCCAACATTGATGATTTATCCAGTATTTCCATATATATAGACACCTGGTAGAAGTATGAATTTCCTAGGCACTTCCATCGAGTTCTACCTTACGGCATAACCT